GAACAACGTATTTCAAACACTGAAAGACAATGGATGCCAACCAAGAATTCTGTATCCAGCAAAATTAAGCTTCAGGTACAACAACGAAATAAAAATCTTTCATGATAAACAAAAGCTAAAAGAATTTGCAGCCAGAAAACCAGCATTGCAAAGCATCTTGAGCAAAACACTACACGAGGAAGAAATGAAAAACAATAACCAGAACCATCAGTGGGAAGTGCCTCTGTAAAGACAGAAGGCGGGGGGAAAGCTAATCATGGAGAAACAAACTAATTAAAAAAAAAGAAGAAGATAAATAATCAAACATGGCTGGAAGTACAAACCATATATCAATAGTAACTTTAAACGTTAATGGCTTAAACTCTCCAATAAAGCGACATAGGCTGGTAACATGGATTAAAAAAACAAATCCAACAATATACTGCCTCCAGGAGACACATCTGATTGGAAAAGACATACACAGGCTGAAGGTGAAAGGTTGGGAAAAAATATACCACACACACGGTCCTCGTAAGCAAGCAAGGGTGGCCATCCTCATATCGAATAAAATTGACTTCAAGACTAAGTTAATCAAAAGGGATAAGGAAGGACATTATATACTGTTAAAAGGAACCATTCACCAACAAGACATAACAATTATCAATATTTATGCACCAAATAATGGTGCTGCGACGTTCATAAAACAAATTCTCCTCAAGTTCAAGAATCAAATAGACCACAACACAATAATTATGAGTGACTTCAACACACCTCTCTCACCATTGGACAGATCCTCCAAACAAAAGTTGAATAAAGAAACTATAGAACTCAATATCACAATCAACAACCTAGACTTAACTGACATATATAGAATATATCAACCATCACCAAGTGGATATACTTTTTTCTCAGCAGCACATGGATCCTTCTCAAAAATAGACCATATATTATGCCATAGGGCAACCCTCAGTAAATATACAGGGGTGGAGATAATCCCATGCATTTTATCTGATCATAATGGAATGAAACTGGAAATCAATGATAAAAGAAGGAAGGAAAAATCCTACATCACATGGAAAATGAACAATATGTTACTGAATGATCAATGGGTTACAGAAGACATAAAGGAGGAAATCAAAAAATTCTTAGAGATAAATGAAAATACAGACACAACATATCGGAATCTATGGGACACAATGAAAGCAGTTTTAAGAGGGAAATTCATCGCCTGGAGGTCATTCCTCAAAAAAAGGAAAAACCAACAAATAAATGAGCTCACACTTCATCTCAAAGCCCTAGAAAAGGAAGAGCAAAACAACAGCAAATGTAGCAGAAGGCAAGAAATAATTAAAATCAGAGCGGAAATCAACAAAATTGAAACAAAAGAAACTATTGAAAAAATTAACAAAACTAAAAGTTGGTTCTTTGAAAAAATAAATAAGATCGACAGACCCTTAGCCATGCTAACGAAGAGAAGAAGAGAGAGAACTCGAATTACTAACATACGGGATGAAAAAGGCAATATCACAACAGACGCTACAGAAATACAGAAGACAATTAGAAATTATTTTGAAAACCTATATTCCAATAAAATAGAAGATAGTGAAGACATCAATAAATTCCTTAAGTCATATGATTTGCCCAGACTGAGTCAGGAGTATACTCACAACTTAAACAGACCAATATCAATAGATGAAATAGAAGAAGCAATCAAAAGACTTCCAACCAAGAAAAGCCCAGGACCCGATGGGTATACAGCGGAGTTTTACAAAACCTTTAAGGAAGAATTAATACCAATACTTTTCAAGTTATTTCAGGAAATAGAAAAAGAGGGAGCTCTGCCAAATTCATTCTATGAGGCCAACATCACCCTGATTCCGAAACCAGACAAAGACACCTCAAAGAAAGAAAACTACAGACCAATATCTCTGATGAACCTAGATGCAGAAATCCTCAATAAAATTCTGGCGAATCGGATACAAAGGCACATCAAAAAAATTGTGCACCATGATCAAGTAGGATTCATCCCTGGGATGCAAGGATGGTTCAATATACGGAAATCAATAAATGTTATTCACCACATCAATAGACTTAAAATAAGAACCATATGATCATCTCAATAGACGCAGAAAAAGCATTCGACAAAGTACAGCATCCCTTTATGTTCAAAACATTAGAAAAACTAGGAATAACAGGAACTTACCTCGACATAGTAAAAGCTATCTATGCTAAGCCTCAGGCTAGCATCATTCTCAATGGAGAAAAATTGAAGGCATTCCCCCTAAAATCTGGAACAAGACAGGGATGCCCTCTATCACCAGTTCTATTCAATATAGTTCTCGAAACACTGGCCAGAGCAATTAGACAGACGAAAGAAATTAAAGGCATAAAAATAGGAAAGGAAGAACTTAAATTATCACTATTTGCAGATGACATGATTCTATACCTAGAAGACCCAAAAGGGTCTACAAAAAAACTACTAGAACTAATAAATGAATTCAGCAAAGTGTCAGGATATAAAATCAACACGCATGAATCAAAGGCATTTCTGTATATCAGCGACAAAACTTCTGAAACGGAAATGAGGAAAAACACTCCATTCACAATATCCTCAAAAAAAAAAAAAGACTTGGGAATCAACCTAACAAAAGAGGTGAAGGATTTATACAATGAAAACTACAAAACCCTAAAAAGAGAAGTAGAAGAAGATCTTAGAAGATGGAAAAATATACCCTGTTCATGGATAGGCAGAACTAACATCATCAAAATGGCGATATTTCCAAAAGTTCTCTGTAGGTTTAATGCAATGCCAATCAAAATCCCAATGGCATTTCTTGTAGAAATAGATAAAGCAATCATGAAATTCATATGGAAAAATAAAAGACGCAGAATAGCAAAAGCAATTCTAAGCAGGAAGTGTGAATCAGGTGGTATAGCGACACCAGATTTAAAACTATATTACAGAGTAATAGTAACAAAAATAGCATGGTACTGGTACCAAAACAGGCGGGTGGACCAATGGTACAGAATAGAGGACACAGAGACTAATCCACAAAGCTACAACTATCTTATATTTGATAAAGGAGCTAAAAGCATGCAATGGAGGGAGGATAGCATCTTCAACAAATGGTGTTGGGAAAACTGGAAATCCATATGCAACAAAATGAAACTGAATCCCCTCCTTTCGCCATGCACAAAAGTTAACTCAAAGTGGATCAAGGAGCTAGATATCAAATCAGAGACTCTACGTCTGATAGAAGAAAAAGTTGGCTCCGATCTACATATTGTGGGGTCAGGCTCCAAATTCCTTAATAGGACACCTATAGCACAAAAGTTAATAACAAGAATCAACAAATGGGACTTACTTAAACTGAAAAGTTTTTTCTCAGCAAGAGAAACAATAAGAGAAGTAAATAGGGAGCCTACATCATGGGAACAAATTTTTACTCCTCACACTTCAGATAGAGCCCTAATATCCAGAGTATACAAAGAACTCAAAAAATTAAACAATAAGAAAACAAATAACCCAATCAACAAATGGGCCAAAGACCTGAACAGACACTTCTCAGAGGAGGACATACAGTCAATCAACAAGTACATGAAAAAATGCTCACCATCACTAGCAGTCAGAGAAATGCAAATCAAAACCACCCTAAGATACCATCTCACTCCAGTAAGATTGGCAGCCATTATGAAGTCAAACAACAACAAGTGCTGGAGAGGATGTGGGGAAAAGGGTACTCTTGTACATTGCTGGTGGGACTGCAAACTGGTGCAGCCAATTTGGAAAGCAGTATGGAGATTCTTGGGAAAGCTGGGAATGGAACCACCATTTGACCCAGCTATTGCCCTTCTCGGACTATTCCCTGAAGACCTTAAAAGAGCGTACTACAGGGATACTGCTACATCGATGTTCATAGCAGCACAATTCACAATCGCTAGACTGTGGAACCAACCCAGATTCCCTTCAATAGATGAATGGATAAAAAAAATGTGGCATTTATACACAATGGAGTATTATACAGCACTAAAAAATGACAAAATCATGGAATTTGCAGGGAAATGGATGGCACTAGAGCAGATTATGCTTAGTGAAGCTAGCCAATCCCTAAAAAACAAATACCAAATGTCTTCTTTGATATAATGAGAGCAACTAAGAACAGAGCAGGGAGGAAGAGCAGGAAGAAAAGATTAACATTAAACAATTACATGAGGTGGGAGGGAAAGGGAGAGAAAAGGGAAATTGCATGGTAATGGAGGGAGATCCTCATTGTTATACAAAATTACATATAAGAGGTTGTGAGGGGAATGGGAAAATAAACAAGGAGAGAAATGAATTACAGTAGATGGGTTAGAGAGAGAAGATGGGAGGGGAGGGGAGGGGGGATAGTAGAGGATAGGAAAGGTAGCAGAATACAACAGTTACTAATAGGGCATTATGTAAAAATGCAGATGTGTAACCGACGTGATTCTGCAATCTGTATTTGGGGTAAAATTGGGAGTTCAAAACCCACTTGAATCAAATGTATGAAATATGATATGTCAAGAGCTTTGTAATGTTTTGAACAACCAATAAAAAAAAAAAAAAGAGTCCGTGGAGTCTTCTGAACAAGGGATAGGGGTGGGGAATAAAAGAGGAGGAAAAAAAAAAGCCCAATCAAGAACACATATGGGGCTGGAGTTGTGGCTCAGTGGTAGAGTGCTCGCCTACCACTGGGGCACTGGTTTTGAACCTCAGTACCACATGAATGTAAAATACAGATATTGTATCCACCTAAAACTTAAAAATAAATATTTTTTTAAAAAGAACACATACTAAATATATAATAAGGACTTCCTGAATAATATTATATTAAATTTTTTCTGCAAGAACTAGTAGACTGAGAATCTATAAAACCAAGCCAACTAATGATTTGTTTTTCTATTAATATTTAATTTCACTTGTGACATGTAATAACAAAGATGAATGTTCAGATTTTGGTTGTCAATTTAGATATTACACAGTAATTTTCTCTTTTTAGGTAGAAAAAATTAGTTGGGCATCATGGACAAGTGTGCTTGGTCTATGCTGTGAGGGAATTTGGCCAGTAATTGGAGAAGTCACAGATGTAACTGCCTCTTGCCTCACCAGTGACAGAATGGTCCTAGCTACAGGCGATGATTTGGGATTCGTGAAGTTATTTAAATATCCTGCTAAAGTATGTATTTTTCTTTAATTTTCCTAATGATCGTAATTATGAAAACGATTAAGATAATGTTCCTTCATAGTATTTCATCCTATTGTAATAGGAATAATACATGTGTAAAATGTAATGTTATACCACAAAAAGTTCAGAATTATGTTTCCTATTCTTGGAACCATATTATTTTTATCTAGAATAAGTATTATAATCTATGATTCTGTGCCTGAAGTTATATATTATATTTTACAGATTTTTTTAGTATTGAATAATGTAAATTTCCTTTTTAAAAACCCATTCCTTTTATTCCCAATATTAAATTAAGCTATTTAACTATTTTCATTATTTATAAATAAATAAACACAAGGTCCATCAATAACTAAAAAAGAAATTTTAAAAAAGAGAATAATATAAACTATATGTATGGCTTTTAAAGAGACAATGTTTTAACCAAATACTAAATACTAAATCCCCCCATAAAATTAAAATAAACAACAGTGATTTAATGTGATTAATGATGTTTTATTGAAACCAAACTATACAGATTCTTTGGAGCTCTCTGTGTCTATGTTATGTTATGTGATTGCTCAATTCTTATTTCACTTTCCCATATTCAAACTACTGCAAAATGTTAGGCTTCTGTTTAGCACAAAAGTAAAATTTATGTACCAAAGCCAATAAACGCCTGCCTGCTTACCTTCTCTTCCTCCCTCCCTTCTTTCTACTGGTCATTGAACCCAGCGCACTCTACCCCACTGAGCTACATCCCCAGCCCTTTTTATTTTTCATTTTGAAATGAGTCTTGTTAAATTGCCCAGGCTGGGCTTTCTATTTCAGCCTCCTGAGGAGCTGGGATTACAAGTATGCACTACCATGCCCACTTCAGATGTATTTATTTCTTAATTCACATAAATTAAGTTATATATTATAATCTAGCACCAACAAGAACATAAACATAAATTTGAAATAATGCATCAAATCATTTTGATATTCAGTTCATTTTTAAAATTTTATTATTATTTTTTATTTATATATAACAGCAGAATGCATTACAATTCTTATCACATAATATATACCACAATTTTTCATATCTATGGTTGTATACAAAGTATATTCACACCAATTCATTTCTTCATACATGTACTTTGGATAATAATGATCATCACATTCCACCATCGTTTCTAACCCCATGCCCCCTCCCTACCCCTCCAACCCTTCTGCCCTATCTAGAGTTCGTCTGTTGCTTCCATGCTCCCTCTCCCTATTCCACTATGAATCAGCCTCCTTATATCAGAGAAAACATTCAGCATTTGGTTATTTGGGATTGGCTAAATTCACTTAGCATTCATTAACTTCCCGACTCCATCCATTTACCTGCAAATGCCATGATCTTATTCTCTTTTATTGCTGAGTAATATTCCATTGTGTATATATGCCACATTTTTTAAATCCATCTATTGAAGGGCACTTAGTTTGGTTCCATAGTTGAGCTGTTGTGAATTGTGCTGCTACAAACATTGATGTGGATGTGTCCCTGCAGTATGCTGTTTTTAAGACCTTTGAGTATAGACCGAGGAGAGGGATAGCTGGGTCAAATGGTGGTTCCATTCCCAATATTCCAAGAAATCTCCATACTGCTTTCCATATTGGCTGCACCAATTTGCAGTCCCAACAGCTATGTATGAGTGTACCCTTTTCTCCATATCCTCGCCAACGCTTATTGTTGTTTGTCTTCATAATAGCTGCTATTCTGACTGGAGTGATCTATGCTAAGCCCCAGGCCAACATCATTCTAAATGGAGAAAAATTGAAGACATTCCCTCTAAAAACTGGAACAAGACAGGGATGCCCTCTTTTATCACTTCTATTTAACATAATTATTTTTGTAAGAGAGAGAATTTTTTATTTTTTATTTTTTTTAGTTTTCGGTGGACACAACATCTTTATTTTTTTATTTTTATGTGGTGCTGAGGATCGAACCCAGCGCCCGCATATGCCAGGCAAGTGCGCTACCGCTTGAGCCACATCCCCAGCCCTTAACATAATTCTTGAAACACTGGCCAGAGCAATTAGACACACGAAAGAAATTAAAGGGCTACACATAGGAAAAGAAGAACTCGAATTAGCACTATTTGCTGATGATATGATTCTATACCTAGAATACCCTAAAAGTTCCATCAGAAAACTTCTAGAACTGGTAAATGAATTCAGCAAAATAGCAGGATATAAAATCAACACCCATAAATCAAAGGCATTTCTGTATACCAGTGATAAATCCACAGAAATGGAAACAAGGAAAACCATCCCATTTTCAATAGCCTCAAAAAAATAAAAATAAAATACTTAGGAATCAACTTAACGAAAGAGGTGAAAGATCTGTATAATGAAAATTCCAGAACCCTAAAGAAAGAAGTCAAAGAAGACCTTAGGAGATGGAAAGATCTACCTTGCTCTTGGATAGGCAGAATTAATATTATTAAAATGACCATACTTCCAAAAGCACTATACAGTTTTAATGCAATTCTGATCAAAATCTCAATGACATTCCTCATAGAAATAGAAAAAGCAATCATGAAATTCATCTGGAAAAATAAGAGACCCAGAATAGCTAAAGCAATCATTAGCAGGAAGAATGAAGCAGGTGGCATCACTATACCAGACCTTAACCTATACTACAGAGCAATAGTAACAAAAATGACATGGTATTGGCACCAAAACAGACTGGTAGACCAATGGTACAGAATAGAGGACACAGAGAGTAACCCTCAAAATTACATTAATTTACATTAGACAAAGGTGCCAAGAACATGCATTGGAGAAAAGATAGCCTTTTCAACAGATGGTGCTGGGAAAACTGGAAATCCATATGCAACAAAATGAAATTAAACCCCTATCTCTCACCATGCATAAAACTCAACTCAAAATGGATCAAGGACTTAGGAATAAAACCAGGGACCCTGCGTCTAATAGAAGAAAAAGTAGGCCCTAATCTCCATCATGTGGGATTAGGCCCCAACTTCCTTAATAAGACTCCTATAGAACAAAAATTAAAATGAAGAAGCAATAAATGGGATGGACTCAAACTAAAAAGTTTCTTCTCAGCAAAAGAAACAATCTGTGAGGTGAATAGACAGCTTATATCTTGGGAGCAAATCTTTACCGCTCACACATCAGATAGAGCACTAATCTCTAGGATATATAAAGAATTCAAAAAGTTAAACACCAAAAAAACAAATAACCCAATCAATAAATGGGCCAAGGACATGAACAGACACTTCTCAGAAGATGATGAACAATCAGTCAACAAATACATGAAAAAACATTCATCATCGAGATATTAGAGAAACTCAATTCATTATGATACTCTGTTCATAACACCCATATTATTTTTTGTAGATCAGCACTGAAATGAAGACACAGGCTTAAAACTCATAGGAGGGCTGAGGTTCTGGCTTAATGGTAGAGCCAGCATGCGTGAGGCACCACATAAAAATAAATAAATGAAGATATTGTGTTCATTTACAACTAAAAATATTTTAAAAATAAAAACCTCCAGGGAAACTCAGATATTCAAAAACGCTACATAGAGCCTACTTTAGATACATATATGAGCTAGAACCTTAGTAGATTAAGAACATTCTATTAAGACAGTTATCAGTCAGAAACTTCATTCCAGCATTCCAAATGATGTAGATCCTTTAGGAATAAGTTTAGGATACTGGTCTACAGATTCCTTCCTTCTTCACCCCAATGCTAATAAATCTACATAACAATTATTTTTAATACATATATTTCTCCATATAATATACTGTATTAACTATATTGTTACTCCATTGAACAGTTGAGGTATTTAAATTTTACTGCTATAAGTAAATAATATGATAAGTATTTTTCACATACGTAGCATGTTCTTAGCATAGATATCCAAAAGGCAGATTAGTGAGACAAAAGTACAAACAGGATCTGTGTATTTATCTTAGTGATAGAGTACTTGGCTAGCATGTGCAAGCCCTGGGTTTGATTCTCAGCAGTGCCAAATATATGTATGTATTTTTTTAATGCTTTTAATGCGGTATACCACATTGGTTTCCAAAAAAGTTAATTGTACTAGCAATGTGTGAAACTACTAGTTTCATCCTGTCCTCACCAGGTTTGGGAATTGTTACTTTTATTTAATTGGTTAAATATTAAAGTATTTAATTGGTTAAAACATTTTTCTCTTTAGCACACTTGTTATTTTTTTATTCTAGGGTATTTCAATATTTTCTTGTGTTTTTATTTATGTTGCATTTGGAATGACTGATTTCAAAACATATATTAAGGAAAATTAAATATAACTAAAAATATAATTAGTTCAGAAATATAATTACAATTTTTCAAATAATGAAACTTCTCAGAAAAAGTTTGCATTTTTATTATCTCTAGGGAAAATTTGGAAAATTTAAGAGGTATGTGGCCCATAGCACACATGTCACAAATGTTCGCTGGACTTATGATGACAGCATGTTGGTGACCCTAGGAGGTGCAGATATGTCTTTAATGGTATGGACAAATGAGATGGAAAGTTATCGAGAAAGAAGGCCTTGTGATAGTGAGGAATCTGATGTAGATTCCGAAGAAGGTGGAGGTATGTCATTTAAAACATTTTAACAGAAACATATAAAAAATACAGCACTGATTTAAACTATAGAATTTAAAGTAATAATAATACTTTAATAACTGTGGTATTGGGGCTGGGGATGTGGCTCAAGTGGTAGCACGCTCGCCTAGCATGCGTGAGGCACTGGGTTCAATTCTCAGCACCACATAAAAATAAAATAAAGATATTGTGTCCACCTAAAAACTAAAAAATGAATATTTAAAAAATAATTGTGGTATTGGTGTTTTTGGTTAGTTTTATACAAAAATTGGCTTTATAATTCAAGAATAGCAGACTGGCAAGTATTAATACTTAGCTATTCTTCATCTACAAATGTAAGACAACCATACTTTAAATAAATACTATTAAAATGAATTTTATATATTTGAACTTTATATTTTAAAACATTTTTCTTAATGTACTAATAATACTAGCTCATTATATAAAATATATTTTGCAATAAAGAATAAACACAGACTTTATAATTCAACCACTCAAAGTTAATCTCTGTAAACAATTGGGGTTTATCCTAAGGTATATGTGCATTTGTAAACATAATTTTTTTAACATGAACTTGTAGCTTTTTTTTTTTCCTTTTTGGTACTGGGGATTGAACCCAAGGGCACTTCACTTTAACATTAACCTACATCCCCAACCATTTTTATTGATTATTTTGGGTTTTTTTTTTTTTGGTTTTTTTTTTATACCAGGGATTGAACTCAGGGGCTCTTAACCACTGAGACATCCCCAGACCTTTTTTTAATTTTATTTAGAAATAGGGTGGAACTAAGTTTCTTAGAACCTCAATAAGTTGCTGAGGCTGGCTTTGAATTTGGAATCCTGCTGCCTCAGCCTCCCCAGCAGCTGGATTTACAGATGTGTGCCACTGCACCCAGCTTTATTTATTATTTTGAGACAGACTCTGATGAATTACTAAGGATCTTGATAAGTTATAGAGTCTAGCCTCAAATTTGTGATCCTCCTGCCTCAGCCTCCCATGTTGCTGGGATTATAGGTATGCATCATTGCACATGGCCTATAGCTTGCTATTATCTCTTAGTGATATTTAAAAAACATCATTATGTGGCTGGGGATATGGCTAAGTGGTAGAATGCTATGCCTAGCTTGCATGAGGCCCTGGGTTTGATCCCCAGCACTAAAAAATATATTTATATATAAAATATTTTACTACTTAATTTTTGCTGGATGCATATTCCATAATTTGATTATGGCACAATTTACTTGACATTGGACATCATTATATCTAAATTACAAGATCACAATTGATCTCAGTTATCACTTAAAGAATAACTTTATATTTTGATGGTAGGCTATGATAGTGATGTTACAAGGGAGAATGAAATTACTTATACCGTCAGAGCCTTATCAACAAATATTCGCCCAATGTTTGGAACCAAGCCTCATTTGCAACAGAAAGAACCTTCAGCTGATGAGAGGTAACAATAAAGTTTAAAATTAAATGAAAGAAAAGATACTTGTATTAAAATTAAATTTGTTATTTAACTAAATGTGTTTCCTACAAATATTAAATATCAGTGATATTCTTGCTTTATTTGGTTGCCAGAACTCTTACAAAATGTTTGTCCTTAAATACTTTTTTAAAAATATTTTTTAGTTGTCAATGGACCTTTATTTTATTTATTGATATGTGGTGCTGAGAATCAAACCCATTGTCTCACACATGCTAGGCAAGCACTCTGCCACTGAGCCACAACCCCAGCCCCCTTAAATACTTTATGGTGTTAACAGTGTCTTTTCAAGTAGTTTGGAGAATGTTGCCATATATGTAGAAAGTTTATATGATTAAAGTAACCTTTTACTTGCCAAGTGTGTTAAATATATTTGATGACATTGGGGAAGATAATAAAATTGAATCCAGTGCCCAGAACCTTGTAGGAAGCATGTGTGCAGAGACATGGCCTTTTTTTAAATGGCCCATCTATCAACATGCCCTTAATTGAGGGTTGACAACATTTCAAAAATTTTTCAAAAAATGGCAGGTTGAAGTATAGCTTGTTTTTAAAGGGAATTATTGATCTTGGTTTAGAATCAGTAAATTAAAAATAAGGATATATACACAGAAGTTTTATTGGAAAATAACTTTTAAATAATGTCTCTGAGCTAGATGAGCTAGATGAGAGAAACTGTGAACCTAATGGTTTTTAAATCAAAGATGGAAAGCAGTAAAGAGACATATGAGGGCTGGGAACGTAGCCCACTTGTCTAGCGCATATGAGGCCCTGGGTTCCATCCCCAGGAACGCCCACCCCCCCCCACACACACACACACACAAAAGGCAATATGGCATGGACTTCAAAAGTGGAGCGGTTTTAAGAAATGATGAAGGAATAGATTATCAGAAACAGAAGTGAGAAATGAAGGAGTGAAAGCTGAGAACATCAGTGACTTCTGAAGAAAGCTGTGACAAGGAAAATATTATTATAAGAAACTAGTAAGAGTATTTGAGGGAAAAACTAAAAATGAAACCTATGAATTTAATATTCAGGGAAAGGGATAAAGTAAAAGGCATGTGATGTACCTTAATGATGGGGGAGAGGACAACTAGAGATTTTGATGAGCTGACTAATCCCAGCATCCCAGGAAGTCTAGGTGCAATATTGAGGCTATGACACCTTCTAAGCTCCTATTCAAGGTACTCAGTTTGCTGTAGGATACCTCAGATAACTGTACGGGGAGGTCAGGAAAAGGTAGAGAGTAATCATTTTGTTATGCATAAAGAGGCAAAGTATAAAAGAATGTGTAGGAATGTTATCATGACAAAATCTAAATACTTGTATAAAATTCTAGATAGAAGCAGCTGGGTAGAAAGAGCATCACACAATGCAAAGGACATGGATTTTGGAGCCAGACAATTGGGCTAACATACTCATTTTTATCATTTACCAGTTGTATAACCTTGAAAAGTCTTCATTCTTTCTGAACCTCAGTTTCCTAAGTGGCAAAATGAGCACTATAATTCCTCATTTATGGATTATTTCAAGGTTGATATGAAATAATATACATCAATCATTAAGATAGTAGGTCTTCACCAATGGCATCCTCACCTTGGAATGAAATACAGAGTAACCTGAGGAGATAGTTAAATACTGAAACACTGTTTTTCTTTGTTTTTTAATTAAATATTCACAAAGTAATGAGCACTATGTATTTCTTTATTAATTAGAGGAATACATATAAATATGTAAATGTGAATGTTCTTAAGTAGAATATTGCAGAATAATGCTTACTACTATTACTTAATGAAAACCAAACATCCCAAGTAATGAGAAGTGAGAAGTGTTTTATAGGGAGGAAGAACTGTAGACATTCTCATAAATCTCTTCCATATGTTCTGTTGATTTTTTTAAAAGAAAAAAATTATTAGAGAAGTTTGGTATGTGACCTAATTTGAATCTGTATGCCATCATTCCTGGTAAAACACTTCAATTTAAATTTCCTTCCTCAGTGCTGAAATGACCACATTCTGACTGGTGGAAATTATTTTCCTGTTCCTGAAGAATGAGTAACACTGTTGTAACTGTAATCAGCAAAGATTTTTGAAGTTAAATTTTTTACAGATTACTTTTTGAAATTGTTTCACATTTTGTTCTCAATTTTTTTTTACAAAGTCAGTTCTGCTAAATTCTCATAAAAATGATGAGACAGAGATCATTAATGTAATCACAAGAGAAGTTGTTCTTACAAAATGATAGAATCAAAGGGGATAAAAAGTAAGACATATTTCTTTGGGCCATTTTTAAATATATTACTAAGGAGATAATACAGTCTATGTAAATAATTTTCAGTACTTTAAATAAAATCTATTATTGTCATCAAATGTGAAACAACATTTTTAAATGATTAAAACAAACACATATCAAATACCTTATCTTCTTTAATGGAAATTGTTTTGATGACAACTAATAACTTCTCTGGTTGATATTTCTGTAGATTTTTTTTCTCTAAGTAATTTTAATAATTTTGTTTTTTTTCTTTTATTAAATGTTTTTGTAGCAAATCTTATCTATCTGAAGGAATTCATTTTGGTCAAATTCCCAATATTTTTAATAAAAACATTCAAAATAATGTGACATAAAATTTAGGCATTTTTGTATTTCCTTATGTTTCTATTGATATGTTACTTTTACTATATTTACTAAACTGCTATAATTATTCCTTATAATTTTCATGTGTTTCCCTTCTTTTTTCCTTTAATTCCTTTCAAAGGCAGGGTATAGTAAGGTAAGTGTTTTATGAAAGAACAGTTTTCACTCAAATATTTACTCTTCATTCTATTTTGATCTTTATAGTATTTTCCCTATGAACTAATTAACTATATTTGTCAATAAACAATTAAAAAATGAAATAGGACAAATCCAACAAGGGAGTTATATTTTTAGATACAGTAAATGGTTGGTATTATGAAGGTCTTCATTGTGATTATTTAGTTTTACAATAATGTTCTATATAACTTTACATTTTCCTTAACTTTCAGAGGCTCATAAAAAAAACAGCTATACATATTTATCAGTGAGAGATTATTCAGTTTATAAATCTGTTATCTTCATTTAATAAACATTTACTCTACCCTTTAAAATAGGATAATATAGTATATTTGTATATTTAATAAAATGGCCTGAATAAGACAGAATCAGGGGGTGCTTTTATAGCTACCTTCAGTGAGATGAAAATGTCCTCAGAGAGCTTCTGAAATGGGACATTATAGAAATTAATAGTCAAATTTTATAAGTAAAAAAATTAACACTAGAAAAATGTTGGGAGATAAGGATGAAAACAGTAGATTTGAGATCAGATTATACATACTCACAAATAGTAGGCACTCCTGAATATTTGATGGCATGAATTAATTATCTGTGAAATTCTGTGTTTTAAGCAAGGTAATGTGCAAAGATGAGTTCAGAGTATGATACACCCTTTAAGGAGGCCCACATAGTCTTATATTATTTTGACAGCAATGAAGTATACAGATCTAGCCTCATACATACCCTAGCTTCATCAGTATCAATCTCTGCATTGAAGGGGATACTGAGAGTTGACAGTGGTGTAGTAGAAAACACATGATGAAAGAAAGTTGGGAGGCCACTAAATATGAAGAATAATCTGCGGATCACTTATTTCAAAACAAGAAATTAAGTAGAGATATAATTGCTGTCTTACACCCTGTCACAAGCAGGATTCATGCACTTTAGTTGACCATTTGTCATGAGTGCTTATAAAGCCATGTTCTAAATGTGTAAAGAAGACTCCTGATTTCAGAGAGAGGGTGGATGAAATGACTTCCAATTCTGTTACAGTTATTACACTATTAAGGGAAGTTTAAAAAAATATTTACTAGAAAAATCCCAAATCCAGCGTGGTCCTGAGTTATTCATTCTTTTTGTGTGAATTTGCTGACTGGGGAAATCTCTTAGCTCAAAATAAGGGGCTCCTCAGGCAGTTTCTTTCAAAGAAGTTCCAGTGCTACCAGCCCTTTAAGTTGGTTAAGATTTTATTCCCATTTTTTTATATTTATTTTTTAGTAGTAGTTGGATACAATATCTTTATTTTATGTATTTACCCTTTTATGTCGTGCTGAGGACCAAACCCAGGGCCTTGTGCGTGCTTCTAGGCAAGCACTCTACCACTGAGCCACCATCCCAGCCCTTTATTTCCCATTTTAAGAACAAAAATAAGCTTAAATGTTTTGTTTGAAAGTCATATTATACAATCTGAATAAGAAAAAAAATAAGAGAGCTGGGGGTTGTGTCTCAGTGGTAAAGCTCTTGCCTCAAACACGTGAGGCACTGGGTTTGATCCTCAGCGCCACATAAAAATAAATAAACAAAATAAGGATATTTAAAAAAAAATAAGAATGGCAAGCTTTAAAGTTTATAACATAGAACATGTTGCATTCTACTTTTTCACCTTTCTTCTGATTTCCCTGCCATTAATGTCATAACTGAATCTTATTATGCAGTAATAAAATTGAAGCAACAGGCCTTTCATATAATCAGAAGAGTTTATCTTCATTAAATTGATTTTAAAAACTTTAGTACTTTAGGTATTTTATGAGTTTTTTAAACTCAAATTTGTGTTGTAATCTTTTTTCTTTTTTTTTAATCTGCTGCTGAAAAGAGGTTCCAGGTAATCTTCTCTTTGTCATGCTCACAAGGCCTGATTTTTTGTTTTTATCATCCTTTATATGTAGCATTAATGAGCTCAAGTTCTTGGTGTTCTTTACCTCTATTCATAGTTTTCCACATTTTTCCCCTTTGGAACTAATATCCCTGAAATGAATAGAATCTTTTGAGGGGCAGAGCAAGTACAGGGATTGAACTTGGGGGCACTCTACCACTGAGCCATATCCCCAGCCCTATTGTATTTTATTTAGAGACAGGGTCTCACTGAGTTGCTTAGCGCCTCACTTTATGAGGCTGGCTTTGAACTCTCAATCTTCCTGCCTCAGCCTCCTAAGCTACTGGGATTACAGGCATGCACCACCACACCCAGCTTAGAATCTTAATTATTGGATTTACACTATATCAGTAACTACTAAAACTTGATGCATTCAACTCATATAATTTTACAAGTGGTTTACAGTATTACATGCTAATGTAATAAGCATTAAAATATGCTTAATTGTTCTGAAGGGTTGCATAGATGAATTATCTGTTTATTGCTTGAATTAACAACTAAAGCTGTCATACTAACATTGAATAAAGTTCACCAACAGAATTGACTTAAAAGAAAAAACCAAAGTTCCTATCTACTAGATCCTAATAGAAGTAGTTTTAAATATTTTATTTTATGAAGGTTTGAAACCAAAATTTCTGTGATAACTTGTAATGTTGTTTATATATTCCTTATAAGGGCATTTACTTTTTATGATACCAATTAGTTATGCTTATATATTCTGCATGCTGTTTCACTTTACATATGAAAATCTCCATTTGTTTTATATTATGTGTAAAATATAACACTTCACTTTCTTTTTTTAATTGTATAACTTGACAATTTTGAAATGCAAATATATTTGAAAATATTTTATTTTAGGAGACTTATTTATAAATTTCGGAATTTTTTTCCATAAGAAAGTTAATTTGCATTATTTTCTGATTTGGTTGTTAACAATTTGATTTTTTTTTTTAATTTGATGTACTGGGAATTGAATTTATGTGTGCCAGGCAAGAGCACTCTGAGCTACATCCCAGCCCTTTTTATATTTTGAGATAGGGTTTTGCTAAGTTGCCTAGGCTGGCCTTAAACTTGCTATCCTCCTGCCTCAGCCTTCCAAGTAACTGGGATTTTAGGCATTGGCCATCATGTTCAGCTACAAATTGAATATTAAAATTTGGAGAGGGTTTGATGCATGATTGATTTAGATGCAGTATGCAGCTTATTAAATTTATTTGAATAATTGAACCAACTTGAAGATGGTTATGCAAATTATTCTGTAGCACTGGATACATGGTAGAAGATGCCTTTAGTAAACCAAGTGGACCAAATGTTAGCTCCCTCTTGTGGCCATGAGGTATGAATTGGACTCTTCCCCCCCACCCCCACCCCACCCCACCATGCTTTTCAGGAGGGAGCCTCATTGGAAATATCATTATATAAAAATTGAAATTTTAAAATAAAACATTAGTTATCAAAAATAAATATTTGTAAAATGGTCATTTGAGATAACAATAATAGACTAAATAGAAAATTAAAGAGTTGACATGCCTGTTAGTACTAGGATATTATAAATAGATTCTGAGCTTTACAGGGGGATAGATTTGAAAGCTACTATGTAGAGAATGTTGATAAATGTTTGGTGAATAGAGAAGAGGAGTAGTTGGAAGCACTGGTAATAGTAATTGCCTTTTTTTTTAGTCTTTTGTTTGTTTATTTTAATGTGGTGCTGAGGATCAAACTCAGTGCCTCACATGTGCTAGGCAAGCGCTCTGCCACTGAGCCACAACCCTGGTAATTGTCTTTTACATAATGTTATGTGGTTTGCAATGCTTTGTGACTCTAAAAAGTCTTCCTTGAATAAGTGATGACAATGCAATAGCCAAAAGTAAAGACTTCGGGAAGCAGAGAAAGCGAAGGGCGTGGAGGAGGAGTAATGAGTACAAGTTTAGACTCAAATGTGATTTATGTTGCCAACAATATAAAAACATAACATTATAGAAACATAATTAAATTTGCTGGGCACAGTAATCACAGTTCATTGGGAGGCTAAGGCAGGACGATTGCAAATTTGAGGCCATTCCAGGCAATTTAGTGAGTACCTTATCTCAAAAAAATAAATAAATAAAAAGGACTGGGAATGTAGCTCAGTGGTAGAGGATGAGGCCCTGGGTTTAATCCCCAGCACTGGCAAATATATAAATAAATGAATACGTATATATATATATATATATCTAAATATATTTCAAGAGATTGAGGCAGGAGAATTGCAAATTCAAGGCTAGCCTCAGCATGCTAATGATATCCTTCCTCAAGAAGAAAAAAAAAGTGGGCAGTGGGTGCTGGGTCTGTAACTCAGTGGTAAAGCACCTCTGAGTTCAACCCCTAGTACTATAAAAATAAAATATATATATATATATATATATATATATATATATATATATATATATATATATTATGCACCTGTCATGTGAAGGTATTAGATGCTTTAGAGCAATACTTTAGACTTTGTTGATAATGCACCCATCAAGAAAGTTTTTTGTATATCAAGCTAACATTTTTACATTTGTTTATAAACGAACTGCTCTTGTGTTAGTATATGATTTACATTATGAAACATATACCAAGAAATTAAAATGAATAAAATTTCTAATTATTTTCTTTCCCCCTTACTGAATTAGAAGGTATCAGGATCTAGAGAGTGCAGTCTAATAGAACACAGACCCACTTCCCTTTTGACAAGTTGTAGTCTCTCTGGAGGGCAGGTGTGGAGACCCAGTGAAAGCCCCAAGTGATCTATGCCTTTCCTCCTTCCATCTCTCTGTTTCAGGCCCCCAGTGAGCAGGGCCCCTCCACAGCCAGAGAAACTTCAGACAAATAATGTTGGCAAGAAGAAAAGACCCATAGAGGTAAGGAAAACCCACTCCTTAATGTTATTAAAATGTATCCAAAGTTTCTTTTTATAAAACACCCAAGTCTTTATCATTAGTTTTCATGAAAATAGGTGTATTGAATAATCATTTTGTTTGATTTTAAGAAGTGATTAACTTGCCAAGTGAAGTGGCACATGCCTAGAATCCCAGCTACTCAGGAGTGTCATAAGTTCAAGGCCAGCCTCAGCAAATTAGAGAGACCCTGTCTCAAAATAAAAAATAAAAAGGCCTGGGGATATGGCTCAGTGGTTGAACATCCCTGCGTTCAATCTCTGCTACCAACAAGCAGAGATTGTTGGTAAATAAATTTCTGTTTCTCTTAATTTTTAAATGAGAACATCCAAACATAAATACATGTGAGTGATCTATTACTTACAGAAGTCGTGTCTTATACTTAGTGTCCTGAATTCATAAGTTGAAGATAAAATATTTACACCACTCCAGGAACCTTTACCCCATGTGATATAGTCACTATACAGGATTCATGAAGTCTGTTCCTCCTTCTGTCCCTCCTTCCATCAAAGAAACCTTCAGCACTAGCTGAGGAAAGAGAAAGGTCCTCCCAGACCTTTCATAATCCCACATCAGCAGCAAATAAGCAAGTTGTGCTAAATGAGCCCTGAGCAAGGTGTAAAGCTATAGGAGAGGGATTGAAATGAAAAACAGGAATGCTTCTCCCTGCAGCCTTCTCTGCCAGAACTTTCAGCATGAGTTGTCAGAGACAACTTTGGATTCTTCAAAGTAGCTGACTTTGATATAATTTGTCCTGAGTTATCTATGCTGAGCAAATAATTAACTAACAATGAATACAAATCAAATTCTTCTTTCTGACTAACCATAAAAATTGAAGTATTCTTTCATATGGAATCTTAAATCTGAAATTCTTAGAATTGGATAACCTTGTGATTCCCTTTTCCTTTTTATAACTTTATATAGAAAAAGTATAGACTGTGAAATGTGTTTCATTTGCCCAAAACAGGCTAGAGAAAATATATCTAGCTTAATTTTGTATTTGAACTCTGTAAAACATCAAAAACACGTCTTCCATTTTGACTGAAGATGCTAATGCTATGTACATCACAGAATATTGGTGAACGTTTAGACATGAGGAAGAGAGTAATTGTATAATGGTTTCATTATTGTTATAGGACCTCGTGTTGGAGCTTGTATTTGGTTATCGAGGCAGAGACTGCAGGAATAATGTACATTATTTAAATGATGGTGATGATATAATTTATCACACTGCATCAGTTGGAATTCTGCACAATGTTGCTACAGGTAGGAAACCTTAGTTCTCTATCTCCTTATATACTCTGCTTTTAATTTAAAATCTTTTAACTAGGAGCTTAAATTTCTTTGTTAAACCTATAAATAATAATTGAAATATATGAGAAATGATCCAGAATAAAAAATATTTCATATTATGGCACTATCTAGTTATATTTTAGTATTAATAGAGTATGATACAGCAGAAAAGTATTTTATAAGGCCAAGTTCTCATAGATCTCTACTAAAAGTAAAGGTTCGCTGTACATTAGAATCCTATTTTACAGTGAAATCATTGTGCCTCTAATTCTATTTTCCCATAACCTCATCATGAGAATGGGTGGTTTGGATGGTTGTCTTTGACAGTGATTGAAAGTAGCACATTGGATAAGTGACCACAGGGGTGATTAGTGAGGCCTTAGAAAGCCAAGCAAGAAAGCTTTTTTGTCTGTGGGTCTACTGATTATTGCTTGTTTGATCCAAGAATGTGAGAAAACATTCCTTGATGTTTATTTAACAGTCTTGTTGAAGAGCAAATAGAGTTATCTTATTAAATATGATCCAATGATCTTAAGTTTTTTATTTTTAATTCTGTTTTATTACATATGATCGCAAACTTTATGAAATTTGAAAGCAAAAACAGAGTCTACCTGATGAGTCATTTGGGTTTTCCTTTGAGAGTTTCATTCTGAATGGGTAAAGAGTAAATTATGTGCATCATTATCCTCCTCCCCTTGTCAGTATTAATCATTAATATGATCTTTCTTTTCTGGTTTGCTAAAGAAAAGGATTCACCAGAACTACATGCAATTTTTCATTTAATAATTTGAGCCATTTTAAAAAAAAAGTACTACTTAGAAAATCCTTTTTAATTGAGGTTTCACATATCCTTCAAGAGAATGGGAAAGAGTAAAATGAGACAAGCATGAAAGGAATAAATATATATATATATAAACTTTCATGTTTATACTTTTGGTTTGTTTTTAGCTTTCTGATTTATAATTAATCACCTTTCTAATGGTGAAGTGCTGAGAGAGGATGGAGGGGGAGATGAGGCATCTGCTTCAGTTCTTAGTATTTGGCTTCCAACCAGTTTACATTGCTGTGCTCATAGTCTAGGAAGTAAAGATTCATTAGCTGATATTCCACCAACTTGGCCAACAGCTCATAATTAGTTGTTTGTTTCTTTTACTGAACCCACAGCCCTGGAAAGTAAAAATCATATTTCATATCAAGGAAAAATTTAAAATAGTAGGTGTGTTAAAAGTGATCATTGAGTTTTTAGTCTTGTTTTCTCTGTTTGAGATCCTGATATTCAGGGTCCTCTAATGTGGATTCAACCTACTGTTCTGACCTCATGTCCTACCTAATCATTTTACTTGTATAAACCTAGTTTTTTATTGCCTCCTGTGTAGAGTACTTTCATAGTCTTCTGAAATCTCTTCACTGTCAATACTGCTAGATGAATCACATTACTTCCATTTTTATCATACTAGAATTTCATTTTTATTTTTAATTGGTGCATTATAATTATACACAGTGGTGGTAATTGCTATGTTATGTGCATGCACATAACATAATTTGATTAATCTCATTCCCTAGTACCTTCTCTTTTCCTTCCCTCCTCCCTCCCCCATCTACTTGCTCTACTCTACTGACTTCCCTTCTATTATTATTTTAATGAGTGCATTATAATTATATATGCATGGAATTCATTGTGGTATACTTGTACATAGACATAGCGTAATTGGTATATTTTATTCCCTAGGATTTCCCCACACTCTCCCATCCTCCCTCCCTCTTTATCCCTTTCCTCTACTGTATTGGTCTCCCTTCTATTTGGGGGATACATTAATTCTTTGATCAAAAAACTTTAGTGCCTCTCCACTGACTGCAGAATAAATATGAAATATTAATAAATATGGCCCAAACTATTAAAGGGAAAATTATCTCTGGTTTTTGTATGACCCTGGTGAATCTTTTTCTTTAGGAAACCAAAACAAAGATCATAAGCCTTGAAAATCTTTCATAATTCTAGTCCCTACTTCCCTTTCCAACTGCATTGCTCACTTTTCTTCCTCATGACCCTACAGCCAAAGGAGTCATTATATATGCATACCGCTGCCTTTGCGCCTTTCCTCAGGGTTCCTCTACCTACCTAAAATGCCCTTCCCCACCCTCCTTCACATTTGCAGAATCTGTCTGCATCAGTGCAGAAGTGTCATATTCCCATAATGAGAATAAGTCTTCCTGTGCTAAATTCCCATGGCATTTTGATTCTTAAATCTTTGGTGGTATTTGGCATCTTCAGCCTTGGATCATACAATTGATCCTTCAGATCATATGGTTGATCCCTTTCAGATTTCTATCTTTTTAAAACATCTGATTCTTTATCCTTTGATAATGTGTATAGTAAGTATTCAAAAACTATGTGTTGAATAAGCAGATAAGTTAGTTTATAGTGCTAGATAAATGCATTTGGTTGTTATATCTTAAAAGTTTTCAAACTTAATTCTCAAATTCTTTCTTTATAGGGATTCAAAGTTTTTATCAGGAACATAATGATGATATTCTGTGCCTCACTGTAAATCAGCACCCCAAATTTATCAACATAGTGGCAACTGGCCAAGTAGGTATGTTTCTATATTTTAAAAAGAAACAATGTGAAGCATTTTTGTTCAAATAAATTCAACATCCTAGGAAAAATTAAAGTGTAATATAATTACAGATTCTTCAAAACTCTGTGTACATAAAACACACACAAAATTATACCATATGGTTTGCTTCTAGGTACCTTCTCTTACTAACTTTGGTTATCTGCATTAGTACAGACAATTTTGAATTTAAAATCAACTGTCATATAGGGGCTGGGATTGTGGCTCAATGATAGAGCATTCGCCTAGCATGTGCGAGGCCCTGGGTTCAATCCTCAGCACCACATAAAAATAAATAAAATAAAGGTATGGCATCCAACTACAACTAAAAAATAAATATTTTTTTCAAAAAGTCAACTGTCATATAGTGGTTTAAATAGTCAGATTTAATTCTTTGTCAGGAATTTCTGATTAGCAAAAAAAAATTTAATTCAGTATCATAAGAAGCAGAAAGGAAGTACTTTAAGGAGAGAAGAGTTCTGTTTCAGCAAGGGTTAACCTAGAAAGTAGTGAGAACCCAGCTGGGCATGGTGGCACAGCCTGTAATCCCAGCAGCTCAGGAGACTGAGGCAGGAGGATCACGAGTTCAAAGCCAGCCTCAGCAACTTAGTGTGGCCCTAAGTAACTCAGCAAGAACCTGTCTCTAAATAAAATATAAAAAGGGCTGGGGATGTGGCTCAGTAATTAAGCACCTCTGGGTTCAATCTCTGGTACCAAAAGAAAAAAAGTGAGAACCTGGTTGGGCTTGTGGCTCAGTGGTAGAGCACTTGCCTAGCAAGTGTGATCCTCAGCACCACACAAAAATAAATAAATAAAATAAAGATATTGTGTTCATCTACAACTAAAAAAATATTTTTAAAAAAATGAAAAAACAAATTTGTTTCATGTTTGTAAATCCCCACTGCCTTTTCCTTTTCTTTGGTATTAATCTGATTCATCAAGTGTTTTTGTTGTTGTTGTTGTTGTTTCTTTTACAGTACCAGGGATTAAACCCAGGGGCTCTCTACCACTGAGCTGCATGCATAGTCTCCCTCTCCCCTTTTTTTCTACAAGATAGGATCTCAGTAGGTTGCCAAAGCTGATCTTGAACTTGCAGTCCTCGTGCCTCAGCCTCCTGAGTTGCTGGAATCATTGTTTACTTGCTTTTTATTTTTTTTATTTTTTTAACCTTGGTCAAAAATTTAAAGGCCATAGATTTACAAGCAAAATGATTGAAGATAGCAGATCTATTTGGACATATCTACCAATCATTGATCACTATGAATACTACATTATAGATTTGGTCAGTCATATTTTCACAGCTTTCATATAGCTTGTAAAGTTCTTAAAATCGTTGGGTTGGTTGGACCTCAGTGGGTTGTGGTTGCTAAGCTAGCTTTCTAGCTATCTTTTTCTTAAATAATTATGCTTTTAATATCTTATTTTTTCATGCAAGTACTGAATTGATTAGTCAAAAACTTGTTCTCTGCGTTTCCTGGTTCTATTGCTATGCCCCCTGGGACCCTGCTCTTTTTCCTTCTCTACAGTTTTCTGCTTTTAAAGGAAAGTAGACTATTATAGTACCCAGTATTCTAATCTTTGTATAGGAATATATATGTATACTCCCATTTGCACTAAGTTCTCTGAAAGCGATGTCTTGTTTTCCTCTGCACAAGGAATAAGGCCTATCTCCTGAAGGAATAGAGACCATACACCTGGCTTCATATCTCTTGGTACATAGTTATTGCTCTGTTAATTGTTATTGAGTAAATTTATTTATTCAACAAACTTATTAAGCACCTACCATGTGCAAGGTATTGTTCTAGCAGCTTATAAAAAGACAAAATCCCAGTTTTAATGTAATTTACATTTTGTGAATAGAATTCTAGAAGGTATGGTTCTTTGTTTGCTCATTCTTCCTTTCTTTCTCCTGCTCTCCTTTTATTAAGCAACTTTTCTCATATTAGTGCCATAGGTTTCTTTTAGTTGAGAATTGTCATAGTCACACATTAATCTTTCAGAATTTTGGCCCCTTTCTCCACTTCTTTCCCTTTATTTTGAAAGGCAACAGTACAGGGAACATGGAATGGCTCATGGTCTTCCCTTCTCTTTCCAAGTCAAACTCTGCAGTGCAGAGGTGAATTTCAAATCATGCACGTAGCCCTGTGCCTTGTCTCACTTGTAATTTTTAATAAAAATGGTTAACAAAAAATGCTTCACTGATGACTAAGTATGGAGAGGGATGTTTTTTCTTAAAGGGAACTGATAGGTAGTCACTTTGCTGCCAAGCTTATTTAATACCCACAAGGCACAAAACACCATTTAAGTTGTTGGGTTTTTTTAAAAAATTATATGGATCATAAATAAATTTAAATATTTACTTTGTGGTATATTAGCCAGTTACATTCAGACTTTTATTTTCTTGACTAGAATCTTAAATCTCAGGGCCAAATGTATCTTTTTATCCATTATATACTTGAACCGATCACTATTTTATGCCTAATACGGTAGTCTAACCTCTCCCTAGGAAGCTCATTTATAAAATAGTTCTCCACAAAGAATGGAAATATGTCTCTCTAATTGCTACTCATTGGTCCTCATTTTGGGGGTACTTAGAACATGTAATCACTTTTTCCTATAACTTTTTCCTCCAGTTTTGGAAACTATCCTATTCTGACAGAGTCTTCTCTAGTACTTCTTTTAGAATGTCCACTCTGGACATCTTCCAGCTACATTTCATGGGTCAAGGTGTATATGAGAACAGTGAGATTGCTTTCCATAGGGGAACCTCCCTCTGCATTTGGGGATTTGAAATCACAGAATTAGGGCTGGGGATGTGGCTCAAGCGGTAACGCGCTCGCCTGGCATTCGTGCGGCCCGGGTTCGATCCTCAGCACCACATACAAACAAAGATGTTGTGCCCGCCGAAAACTAAAAAATAAATATTAAAAAAATTTCTCTTTCTCTTTCTCTCTAAAAAAAAAAAAAAAAAACCTTTGAAATCACAGGATTATCTACTAAGTGGTCCTGAATCTGCTTCTGAGCCTGCATGAGCCTGTTCTCAAAGTAGATCCTCTACTTTTTGTAGATCCTCTACTAATTGATGTAAAAAAAAAAAAAAATCACCTAGCTTCAAGGAATTCTTAAATTTTTACTCTTTTTTTCTTTGGTAAAGACTGTTAATTCTTTTATGTGGTGCTGAGGATTGAACCCAGTGCCTCACATGTGCTAGGCAAGCACTCTACCACTGAGCCACAATCCCAGCCCTAAAGACTGTTAATTTTTAAGTTTTTTTTAAACAGGTATTTTCACCACAAATACAATGAGTATAGATAGGTATTCATATTTTCTTGGCAAACTTTAACTCATAGTGAAAATATTTAGTTTTTAAAAAAAAGAATTTTTTCCTTGAGTTATATTGTAATCTTTGCTATCATGTCCCTCAGAAGATTTAGATTAAATTCTTCCCTGTACGCAGAGATGCATTAAAATTCCAAAAGGCCCATTAAGTGGTGCATTTTATGACCCCAAAATAAGTGTATTATCAATTTAAATCATATAAATATTATTCTTAAAGTTATAATTACAATTTCATGTAAGTCATTAAATATGAAGAAAATTGTTTTTATCAAAGAAAGATTGAAAGGTCATACATAGAATGTTAATATGTGCATATAATTGAAATGGTTGCCTTCTCTCTGTTTACTCAGTGTAATACAACTGATTGCATATATTTTATTAAGTTATTTTAAAAATATTTATGATAATGGGTCTTGCAGATTTTAAGGCATTTGTGTTATTTATTGGTAACAACTTTTCTGTTGCTTTCTTTTATAGGTGATTCAGCAGATATGTCAGGTAAGGAAAAATTTAATATTTTCAGTTTTATTTATATTGTTTGGTAATGGTAACCCAAATTTTTATAAAGTAAATAAGATATCTGAGTGACTATTATTACTTACATCAAACATCTTATTACTCTACAAAAAGTTTGTAAATTATTTGTAATAAAGAATACATTAGTTTAATAACATGATACTGAGCTCAATCTGCAATAATAGTATTTTTTTTAAAAAATGAATGTTTTGACCTTTTTTCCATATGCATGGAACTAATCTAAGTACTTTCCTTATACTGCCTCATTTAATCATCACAAGAATTCTTCATAGTAGTTACTAACTTGGTAACATTATAAGGTTAGGAAAAGTGGAGTTGGGAGAGCTTGGAGATAATCCCTAGCACAAAAAAAAGCAGGGAAAGGAAAGGGGAAAAAATGATCAAAATGATCAAAACTTAATCTTAAATATAAATAAATTGTATTGACTCTGAATAAAATTACAAAAATAAAATCAGATTTTTACATACTATCTCAGTTGTATATATTAAATCAACAGATCATTTAAGGATTTAGAACTATTATTGATCTTAGCTTTATGAATTAAAGATAATGATTAAATTAACAATGTGTAGCTATTTTCTTTAGATATTACAATAACTAATCCTTTTCAATTATATTTTAAATTTATGTAATATAATATGAATTAGCAATTTGATAAAATATTTATATCTGTTTCTTTCCCCTCCATCAGGGCAGAGTATGATTTTATGATTTGACAAATCAACTATTAATTTATTCAAATCAACAGGCAAGGTCACTGCTTACTTGGTTTCACCCGGGAGCAGGGGTGGGCAAACCATAGCTCATGGGCTTTATTTGGGCCACCACCTGCTTTTGTACAGCCCGGTTTTATTAATTTAAGTAGTTGGGAAAAATTAAAAGAATGCTATTTTATGACATATGAAAATTATATGAAATTCAGATTTCTGTATTTGTTAACCAAGCTTTATTAGGCATAGCCATGCTCACTTACAGAGTATCTGTGGTGGTTTGTGTGCTCTTAATGGTAGAGTTGAGTGGCTGCAGAGACTGTGACAATCTCATAAGTTATACACTATAAGTTACGGTGACACAATTATAACTTCACAGGTTTTAAGATAGATACACACACACACATATATATATACACATACATATATATCTGTACTACAACGTTTACTTTCTTTTTTAACCAGTGCATCTCTATAATGTCAAAACAAGGGTGAGGGAAGAAAAGTGGATTTTGAATGTTATACTTTTAAGGTACAGTGAAGTGTGGATTATGTTGTTCTCAAATGAGATGGTAAAGAATTGTGTTTATTATGGAATGACACTATAGTTGTGCTAAAAGAATGTTACATAGCCAGATATGGTGATGCATGCTTGTAATCCCAGCAACTCAGGAGGCTGATGCAGGATAGTTGAAAGTTTGAGTCCAGCCTCAGTAACTTAGTGAGGGTCTGTCTCAAAATAAAAAGTTTAAAAATGGCTGGGATGTGGTGCAGTGGTTAAGTGTCTTTGGGTTAGTTCCCTGGTACCAAAATAATAATAATAATAATAATAATAATACAGTGTGCATCAACACTTTTTTTCTGGTGCTGGGGACCAGACCCAGGGCCTTGTGCATTGTTAAGCATAATCTCTTCCACTGAACTATATCCCCTAACCCTATGTCAGTATTTTACCACCAAATTATTTTGTGTGGTTTCCTTTAGCTCTTGACGGTTTGATAGATGCTATAAGTACTAGCTATAAGTACTTCAGAGTTGGCATCTTATAGTCAAGATGCCAACTCTGAAGAGACAGAAGAGTTAGCCTCTATAAATAGCCTCCATGGAACTACAAAAAAATTATTTTTGAAAAAGATAAGGAAACATTTTAGTACAACTTTAAGTGGTTCTGAGACATAGCACAACTGATGATAAAAAAATATGTGTGGAACAGCAAAAGGGATAGTTGGATAAATTTACCAAGCTTGTATGGAACTTTTTTATTCTCAGCGGGCAGTTTGTGAAAAATATTTCTATCATCTGCTACTGAACGTGAATTTTTGTGATTGTCAACAGTTGTTTTATTTGCCGTCTGACTTAATTATTATCAGTTTCATGAATTTAGGTTATTAATACAAGCTTAATATCCCAGTAGCCATGCCAGGAATGATGTAAAATTGACAGCCAAGACATGAATGAAAGCTCCAGGCTGAGGCTCGTTTTGGGGGTCTCAAGAATTACCATACATTCAGAATTCACTGGAAGGAATTGCAGTGCTCAGAGTTGGTTGTACTTATAGCCAGCAAGAGAAAAGGACAAATAAGGCAGAGTCTGGAGGACCCAGTCACAGACTTTCTGGCTCCCCCAGGGACCACAAGGCCAGCTTTATCCCCACCAGCTAATCTAGCCATACACAGGTGTTTTGCCAGGGAAGCCCACTTAAGACTCAGAGTCCAGGGCTTTTATTTGGGGTTGGGCACATAGACGTGAAGTGCAACCACAAGTACCAAAATACCAGACTCCCAGAAGAAAGCAGGTGTCAGTGCCCCTAACAAGACAGAGCAGTTGTGTAACATAAGGAACACTTCAGAAGCCAAGTTCTTACACACTCCAAGAGCCAGCCCACAGGCAGGGCCTTCTAATGACCAGCCTCCAGCCTGTGTAAAACCTAAGGCTGGGTCAAGAAACTAGAAAGTGAGTGTGCCTGGAGGAAAGCTGCTGAGATAACCACAGTGAGAGGGAGGGAGGGGTCAGCTCCCAGAGGGAGTCTGGATTCATGTCAAGGTTAGTCTGTCACTGGAAAATTTTAAATAACACAATGATCTAATTTGTACTTTGAGAAAGTCACCTCCACTAGCTTGTTGAGAAAGAGGAAATTAGACAATTAGGAGCCTATTATTATAGTCCAAGCCAAAGACAAACAGGGTGGCAGGAGTGAAAGTAGAAAAAACTAGACAGACGTGGGACATAGTTTAGAGGTAAAGCCAGCAATCCTCTCTGATGAGTTGGATTTGGGGTAAGATAAAGTGAGGCTAAATACTAATTTTTTGCTTGAGCAGTTAGCTAAATGAGATGGGCGAATACTAGGGGGAAAATGCATTGGGCATGGAGAATTGTCTATATACATAAAGAATGAAGGCAGTTTAGGTACAAATATAAAATGGTAGATTTGGGGATGATAAAATAATGAAACTCCTATCTGATTATGTCATCAACTGAGAGAAGGAAGGGGAGAAGCAGGGGTTGGTTTTAAGAGGAGTGAAGTTTTCAAATAGTTACTTTGGAACGTAGGTCAGTAAACACTTATAGTAGAAAAGATATGGTGGAATTACCCTGAAGACATTAGATGTATTTTCAGTGGACACTAAGGGAATACTTTTATCTCTGACAAAGTTATTTCAGTCCTCCATGACTATATGTGGAACTTAAGAATTTGATACCTTTGATCCTTTAGGCAGGAGAGTTTTCCCTCTGCTTTTGCTTAGTATTTGTTGTGGTAGGTGGGTGTCTATCAGATGGCTTTGTGGGTCTCTGGGTGCCCTCTACAACAGAAAAGGATGTTTATTAGCATGAACAGTGAGGAAGGTGGGTAGTCTCCTGAGTCTCCTGCTTCTGGAGCACTTCCAGGACCCAGGATCCAGGCATGTTCCCTCTTTGCCACTCTGCCAGGCATAGCATCGGCTTCACCAATAAGGCCAGTTGCATTCGTGGTCACTCAAGGGCTGCAGCAGCATTTGAAGTCACATGCTTCCTTGCTTTCATCCAGTGGGAAAGAGGAGTAAAACTCCTTTCAGAACCATCACCTAAAAATCCTTCCTATTACTCTGACCGAGTCATTAGGACACAAACCAAACCTTGTACTAAAAAAAAAAAAACCATGAGGGGCTGGGGATGTGGCTCAAGAGGTAGAGCGCTCGCCTGGCATGCGTGCGTCCCGGGTTCGATCCTCAGCACCACATACAAACAAAGATGTTGTGTCCGCCGAAAAACTAAAAAAATAACAAATATTAAAAAAAAAAAAAAGAAACCATGAGGATACCATGTGCTGATAGGCCCTAACCTGGGTTACTAAAGTAAATCACTGAGGTAGAGAGGTAGGGGTGGGAGGGCTGTTACCACAGTGGGTTCAGACTTATGGGAGGAGCATGCCACTTCCCTGGAGTCACTTGGAGTCAGTACACTTAAAGGGCCCTTGTTTTAAAATACAGTTTTTATTACACTGTATCACAGGCAAACTAGGAGGTAGAGAAAGAATATTCTTTAAAATTTTCATTCGTATGAGATCCAGCTAGTAATTTAAAAGGACCCTTGGGGAGCTGGGGATATATCTCAGTTGCCAGAGTGCTTGCCTTGCATGCATGCATAAGTCCCTAGGTTCAATCCCTGGCACTCCAAAAAAAAAAGATTCTTAGGGTATCTCTATACAGGAAATTAATAGTCAAAAAATAATTGTAGGGCTGGGGGTGTGGCTCAAGCGGTAGCGCGCTCGCTTGACATGCGCGAGGCGCTGGGTTCGATCCTCAGCACCACATACAAATAAAATAAAGATGTTGTGTCCACCGAAAACTAAAAAATAAATAAATATTTTAAAAAAAATAATTGTAAAAAGTAGTTTAGATTACCATAAAGCTCTAATTAAAATATATATATATATGTGTGTGTGTGTATATATATATTTGAGATTTATTTTTCCAAGACAGCCAGATGAGGTGAAAGAGCAAGAATGGGACCTGAATACTGATGTTAGCACACCTGTGCTGGCTCTGCCTGTGTGTAACAAAGCAAGTTACTGAATTTCTCTGAGCAGAATTCAGAGGAAAACATACCTGGTTGGAAGGTAGGAGTAGAAAGCATGAGATGAGGGGCTGGAGAGAGCCCCGTGGTAGAGCATGTGCTCAGGTGCACAGCACCCTGGGTTCAGAAAGAGATATGCTGCCTGCCATGGCAGATGTGCAGTACCTGAGGACCTTTGGGAAGCGAGGAATAAGCTGGATCTGTTACCTAAGATTGTGAATGACCATTTTTAAATGATAAGAGAAAATAAAATATGCCCAATGAACATAATTTCATCTTCAGTAACATGGGCCCTGAAAATTTATAGTAATCTTAATTTTAAATACTGCTGTTGATGTAGGTTTAGCAGTCTAAATATGCAGCAATTCCATAACATAGAATACCTGTAGGCTTTTAGATTCCTGGTATCAGTTTTTTGCCATCACCTTTAATTTTTTTATATAAAAGTGTGAGAAGCTCAGTAATTCATCTTAAGATTATTTGCTGTTTAAATTTTAGATATATGGAACTTGGCAAATTTTGGTTTGTTTAGAGGCAAAAAAGTTGATATATCTTGAAAATATGTTGCCTATTCTATCACATTTTGGCAGATATAGTATGTGATCTTCCCAGAGGTACTTTTTGTAAGCATATATAAAAATGTTTAATATTTCTCGTTGGCAATATTTATCATTAAATTGTTTAATATTTATCATGTATATAGTGATGTATGATATATATCTATATTTTAGATTTAAGCCATCTAACATGCCTTATTGAGACTCAGTTCAACTATGCCCTAGGTAAACTTTGACTTTTAGTGAATGTGGAACATTTTTAGCCCAGTACTTAAATTATTATAATAAAATTTTCAAACAACCTATTTTATTATTGGCATTTTTATATCTAGTTCTCTATAGTTTTGATATTTTACTGTTACATAAACCTCTCTACTTAATGATACTTATGTTTAAATATCTGATTTAATAAATTTTAACTGCTTTACTTGAATTATCAGATTTAATGTACCATTGTGTTCTATAAATAGCAAATGGTGAAAAATATTATCAGTTTTTTAGATACCAAAATTTCTTTCTGCATCAAATAATTTAATACAACTTGTCTTAATATTTCTGTCTTTTTGCAGTACACATAACATGTATAATTTGAAGAAAATGCACTTAGTTTTTAATTGTTTTACTCAAAGTACATTCATTCTAAGACCGAATTAGCTATAGAGTGTAGTTCAGGAAAAATAATAATACAAAGCTATGGTATTTTAATTTATAAAATACAGAGAAACAAGCTGGGAATGTAATTTAATGGTAGAGTGCTTACCTAGCATGTGTGAGGCTCAATCCTCCGCACTGTAAAAACCAATCTACAAAAACACAAACAAAACAGAACCGGAAGCAACTTTTTAAATAGTAGCAGCACTGCATAGGATGATTAAAGTTTTTTTGTTTTTTTAAAGATTATGAGTTTTATCCTTCCTTAAACTTCTGGGTTTTTAAAAAAATTCTTATAAAGGAATATGTAGCTATCTATATTGTCAAAATTTTCTTTTGAGATTTGTTCAGGTGGTTTTCTAAGTATTGCTTTTCACAACTGTGTCTGCTTTTCATTTCTCTCCCAGGTAACATTGATGCTAAATATATATTTGTATTTAACATATTTATTGTATAAAAATGTGGATAGCTCTCTATATAATTATATAACAATTAAAAATGTGTCTAAAACAGTGCTTTTCCCCCTCTGATGTTGAGAATAAGCCATAAGCTCTAACACTGAACTACATCTCTAGCCCCCAAACATGCCTTATTTTTTGATAAGTTAATATTATGATGGACTGATTTTTGTATAAATGCTATTTTCTCAAAAGTGCAATTGGAAATATAGCCTAAAGAAGTATTCTGGTTTTATTTTGTTTTCCAAAAATTTAATCTTAGTTTGAGCTATTCTTTGTTAAGTATACTCCTTCTTGGGTACATTTTTCCATGTTTCAGAGATGGGTTTATATATTTTAGAAATAGAAACATTTATAACAAGTCAGTTCCAACTTTTGGATTTCATCTTTGTTTAGCCACAGCCCCTTCTATCCACATCTGGGATGCAGTGAGCAAGCAGACTCTATCTATACTAAGATGCTACCATTCAAAGGGAGTGTGTTCGGTCAGCTTCAGTGCTACTGGCAAACTCTTGCTGTCTGTGGGACTAGACCCAGAACATACTATTACCATTTGGAGATGGCAGGAAGGTAGGATAATGTGTGTGAATATGAATTATATATTTAATATTTGCCTTAAGTTGGTGATTGAAACCATTATTCACAATAGCTCTATCCAGTACATGCACACAGTTCGTGGTCCTATAGGTAGGTTTCACTTTAAAAGTCCAGTGAAATTCTAAGTTCACAAAACATAAAATTAATGAAATTATTATTAAAAATTATTAACTGCTGTTCCTTTCAGTAAGAAACTATATATGTATCTTTGCTAATTATTAGTGATTAATTGGTGTTAGAGGACCTTAATAAAGAATAAAAATGTGTGTGTGTGTGTGCGCCTGTGGGTGAGTGTTTGCAGTGCTGTCAGTGCTAGTTAGACAGGTGCTGCATTCCTGACCCATGAAGTATATTTTAAATGATATTGGAAGACCAATAGGATAGTATTACCAAACATACAGGAAAAAGAAAAGAATGTTTCCCAAAATCATTTTATGACCCTTAAATGGTAATGAAGCTCCCTGTAAATACATAACTCAGTTATGGAGTTATAAAGGACTTTCTACCCAAGTAATTATAGTCATGTGATTGCTTGGTAACAGAGCAAGGGCCACAGCCCTCCCTTTTATAAGCATTTTGTTTTTTTAAAATCCATGTATTTTTAACAAATATTTAATTATATAACAATTTAAAATGTATCTAAAACAGTGCCCCCCCCCCCACGTTGAGGATTGATAAGCCATAAGCTCTAACACTGAACTACATCTCTAGCCCCCAAACATGCCTGTTGATTAGCTTGGTTCTTATATTAACTTGGATAATTTCGTTGTATCTTCTTATCAGGTGCCAAGATTGCCAGCAGAGTGGGGCACAACCAACGTATTTTTGTAGCAGAATTCCGACCAGATTCAGATACCCAGTTTGTCTCTGTGGGAGTAAAACATGTGAAATTCTGGACCCTGGCAGGAAGGGCTCTTCTTAGCAAAAAAGGGCTGCTGAACACACTGGAAGATGCCCGGATGCAGACCATGCTCGCTGTCGCATTTGGTGCAGTATGTCTCTTAAAATGTTGTGTAGGGGTGTAATTTTGACTACCAATTTTCTTGCCTGAAATAAGCCACATCAATGTTAATATGGCAGGTAATCTGTTGATGTCCTAATCAGGCATGTATTTCATTTTTCAAAAGTCTGATAGTTTCAGAAATGAGGGAGTGGGAAAGAAAGCTCTTGAGGGAGGATTATGATGAAAATTTGAGTCCTTAGGCTTTTGCTGTTCTCCAAGGCTTTCTCTAGTCTTGTAACTGTCACCATATATATCCTGAAACTTCTGTCTTCCTAACAGTTCTTCACATACCTAAAAATTTGTTAAGAGTAGCCAGGTGCAATGGCACATGCCTGTAATCCCAACTACTCAAAAGGCTGAGGCAGGAGGATCACAAATTCAAGGCCAGCCAGTCTAGGTAACTTAATAAGACAGTCTTAAAATTTTAAAAAATAAAAAGGCGGGCTGGGGATGTGGCTCAAGAGGTAGCGCGCTTGCCTGGCATGCGTGGGGCCCAGGTTCAATCCTCAGCACCACATACAAACAAAGATGTTGTGTCCGCCGAAAACTAAAAAAAATAAATAAATAAAAAATAAATAAAAAGGCTGCGGATGTAGCTCAGAGGTAAAGCCCTTTGATTCAGTCCCTGGTACTGCAAACAAAAAAATTTTTTTTTTTTGTTAGAGTAAAAGAAATATGAGGGGTTGGGTTTTGGCTCAGTGTGCTCACCTAGTACATGTGAGGCCCTGGGTTCAATCCTTAGCACCACATAAAAATAAATAAATAAAATAAAGGTATTGTGTCCAACTACAACTAAAAATAAGTTTTTTTAAAAAAAGGAAAAATTAATCAAGAAGCATGATTTTCAAGTAATTTAAGTTTGGACCTAGGTTTAGGATTTCCTTTGCTTTCTTTCATCTTACATAGTTGCAAGTGTCCTGGGCCAAGAAGGGAGTAGAGAGACAAAAGGAGAAAGCACAGTCTCTGGTTTGACAGAAGAGAGATCAAGAGCCTTCCCTCTTCTCTCCTCACTAGGTCCTACATGGGCCCATGGGTGAATTTATAATCCCCGTCTTTTCTTTAATACCTTACTCTGGCTAGGCTTCTAAAATCCTTTGGTGAAATAAAAACAACAACAAAGCAGATTTCCTTATTATGTGTTTATATAGGTATGAAATTATTTGAAGGAAGGAAAAAATAAGTTTAGAACAATTAACTACACTTATGTTTGGGGGGAAAGGCCACTGAAAATGTTGGTCATGCTATGTCAAGCTCCAATTGAACATTCTGGGCATTCTTAACATTAGATCAGTAGTTTATTTCCAGAAGAAAACCCACACATTTACATGCTTCTGACATTTCATTTGCCCATGTAGATGAACTTCCTTCACTTTTAAAATTCCTCATAGTCAATAAAAAATAAACAAAGATTAAATATTAAGAATAAGTGAGTTTTAATGTATGAAGCAACAGTATAATCAGAATATAACAAAATAAGTTTATGCTCAGTTTAAGCATTTTTAAAATTGTTAAAACATATAAAAACATAAAAGTGGGACATATTTATTTGGCAGAATGTTGAGTCTATGCTAGGAACTATAAAAAGAAAAGGGAAATCATCTCCATGCCCACAGAACTTACATTCTCCTTGCAGACAGGCAGGAATTAGTGCTACTGCTAAAGTGAGTGAAATCATCAGAACTAATAAAGAGTTCTCAAAACCCCCTATGACTGGTACAGATAATAGTTTTATTTTTTAGGGGAAAATGCTTTGCTGAACCTAATAAAAAGTCTTCATTTGCTGTTCCTTTTTTTTTTTTTTTAAATCTGAGGACTTTATTTATTGAGCAGTTGGAAGGAAGCAGTCCAACAATAGAATATAAACTAGAATTACAGCATTTTAGAATTGGAAAGAGAAAACTGTCCAAGGTTACCCCAGCTAAGTGACAGACTGGGAAAGGAAAAGCCATGAGGCAGCTGAGCCTGGAGTTCAGGTTCTGCCTCTTGGGTCCATCTCTCCATCCATACCTTGCACATGCTGAATCACAGATGAAGTAGCATCACACTCACAGATTACATCTGTTTGAACTCTCTTTGCACTTTTGATGAGTTTATCTCCCCCTTCCCCACTCCTTTTCAGAATAACTTGACGTTTACAGGTACCATCAGTGGTGATGTCTGTGTGTGGAAAGATCACATATTGTGTAGAGTTGTGGCCAGAGCTCACAACGGGCCCGTGTTTGCCATGTATACCACCCTGCGAGATGGACTTATTGTGACTGGTGGCAAAGAAAGGCCGTGAGTCCTCTTTCTTTTCACAGCCTCACTGAATACTTGCATTTGTCATCTACCTAGGGTTTTCACAGTTAGGTATTCTTGTTATTTCTAGGCTATGGGTTATCTTCTCTGGCCTTCCTCCTCATACGCTTCAACTATAATGCCTTCTATGTTCCTTCTCTGGATTCTCCTACCTAATCTTAAATCGCTTTTCCCCCCCTTGTAGATAAACCTAAACTCCAATGGTAGATACTTTTTCTTAGGTCTAGATAGGTATTTTTCTTACAGATTAAGAACTTAGTTTGGGCTGGAGTTGTAGCTCAGTGGTAGAGCGCTTGCCTGGCATGTGTGAGGCCCTGGGCTCGATCCTCAGCACCGCATACAAATAAATAAAATAAAAGATCCACTGACAACTAAAAACAAATTAAAAAAAAAAAAAAAAGAACCGAGTTTCCTCAGGACTGTGTGCGTGCATCAGTTATTTGCCTTCCATGTGTGAGGCACTGGGTTTGATCCTCAGCACCACATAAAAATAATTAACATAAAGGTATTGTGTCCATCTACAACTAAAAATTTAAAAATATATATGTAAATGTAAGGAGAAACCTGTTTCTGAATGATTTTCAAATCTCCCAACAGTAACCAGATATATCTACATGTTGGAATGTGACACACAAGCACATTTCACTACAGGAATGGAAAGAACCCACATTCATCGGTTACAAGAACAGAATTTCCTTTTCACCTGAAGAATGAATGTATTGTGGCATGCAGGCACATGTTCTCCTAAGACAAGCAAATTTATCCAACAGAAAACAAAGAAATACATTGTTCAGTTATTCCAAGAGAAAATCTAAAAGTGGACTGTCTTTTACAAATAACTCTACACACTTGTATTTCTCACATCTCCCCATTTTGCACACCACTTCTCACTAGTAGCCTTTGAACTATAGGATGTCTTGATAGTGGTAGGAAAAAAACATGCTTCTTTTTTGGCCCTTAAAAATAAACTCTATAGCAGGGCATGATGGTGTGTACTTATAATCCTAGCAACTCAGGAGGCTAAAGCAAGAGATTCAAAAATTTGAGGCCAGCCTTGGCAATTTAGTGAGACCATCAGCAATTTTATGAGAACCTGTCTCAAAAGACTGGGGATGCAGCTCAATGGTAAGGCGCCCCCAAGTAAATAAGACTATAGTGTATCATCTGTAATCCTATTATCTTGCTTCACGTTTCAATTCCTATGTTAAAAATGGTTTTTCGCTCATCTTAAGTAACATGAAGAGGAAAATGTATGGTGGAAGCTAAACAAGATATGCCAGAGAAAAACGAATAATTCACAAAATTTGCTGAATCCTAAGATTGCCATAGAAATTTATAATAAATTATATAGGGCTTTTTTAGTATTCTACTTAAAATTTAGTATTTGTTATAATGAAAATTATCTATAATAGTTACTAAGATACTTTTGGGGTTTGGTTTTATTTACTTAGGTCAAAAGAAGGAGGAGCAGTTAAACTGTGGGATCAGGAACTGAGACGATGCCGGGCCTTCAGGCTTGAGACAGGACAAGCCACAGACTGTGTTCGTTCCGTGTGCAGAGGCAAAGTAAGATGTTCCTTGACCTGATATGGTGTAGCAGAAAACAGCAGTTTTTACTGATTCTCTCAAATTGTGATTTAATGGACAATATTTAGTAATACATGAGGATGGGTTCACTTGCTAGTTAATCACTCCACTTTGAGTTCCGTAGTTGATGCCAGTGGAGTGCATAAGATGGGAAGCCATTCTGTCTAAACAGGGTTTCCTTTCTTAAATCTGCTAACTGTGGTAGACAGAATTGAAAATCCCTGCTAGTTGACTCATTTTGATTAGACAGCTGTATACACTTTGTAAAAACATACATTCCTATAAAAACTGTGGAGCATGTATGCACTCATTATGCACTCATTAAGTGTATTTATAAATCATATATGTGCATTAACTCATTCTGCTTATTCAAAAATTAGCTAAGCTTATTTATACTTGCTCTTTAAAAATTCCAGTTCTATCTTCCTATATCTCAATGTACTTATACCCCTTTTTGGACATCCTTAGATTATCACAAAGTCACAACTCAGATTATTTAAGAATCTAGGTGGATTCTCATCACATGGACTCAACTATGCACCCCAGCCCAGGGGTCTTGCTGATGTGTGCCTAACACAGAAAAATTCACATGAGCTAACGATGGGCTTGTGACTAAATTAGCTCAAAGCATGTACCTGTTGTGGTACATTACATACATCATTCCCTTTTATGTTTCAGGGCAAGATACTAGTTGGGACAAGGAATGCTGAAATAATTGAAGTTGGAGAGAAAAATGCAGCATGTAATATTTTGGTTAGCGGACATGTGGATGGACCGATCTGGGGGCTAGCAACACATCCTTCCAGGGATTTTTTCCTTTCTGCTGCAGAGGATGGGACAGTGAGACTCTGGGATATTGCTGATAAAGTAGGTACAACTTTTTAAAAAATGTTAGTTTCTAAGAAGTGGAAACCCTAAATTGCTAGTCCTCAGAATTATGTTGAGAATTTTGGGAGGAAATTGGCTAAATTTATTAGTATTTCATTTAACTTGGTCTTCTGTGTCTGTTTTGCTTCTTATACAGAAGATGTTAAACAAAGTGAATTTGGGACATGCTGCTCGTACTGTGTGTTATAGCCCTGAAGGGGACATGGTGGCTATTGGAATGAAAAATGGAGAATTTATTATTTTACTTGTGAGCTCTCTAAAAATATGGGGAAAGAAGAGAGATAGACGATGTGCAATCCATGATATCAGGTTAGTTGACAAATGGAATAGAATTTTTAGTAATTGGGCCCAACTTGCAAAAAACCTTATCTACACCTTCAAAAAAGGCCATATGACTTATAGCATTCTATGTAAATTGTATGCTAAAATGTGGCCACTTATATACATAATTCTCTTTGCAATGTTAAATCCATGGGGCACCAACCAATGCTTTATAATACGAAGTACTAGGTAATGTTAGTGTCACACTAAACATGTACAGCAAATTCATTATGAACTCTCACTCTTAATAGAGTCACCTGCCCTTTAGAAGTTTGAGTTATAACCCCAAACATAGCTTCTCTTACTATCAGTTAGGCTTCACAGATTATCCTCTGTGACCTTTCCCTTCATGTTTCTCCTTTGTTGCACTTTGAGCCTTGAGATATGTTCTCTGGATTCCCATTTCTTGTTCATTCAGTCTTGTTCATTCAGTCTGTCAGCACTGAACACCTATCAGGTTCCAGAATGGGAATTAAACATTTTTTTTTGAAATTTTAATTTTCAGTGCTTAAGCTTATTTAACTGAGCTGCCACTTCACTGGGCACTTCTCTGTGATCAGTAGATAAAATTATTGCATCTGTCAAAGTGTGCTTTCTTCACCAGTAAAATCCTTTCATAAATGAAACCTGCTCAGAACTTTAGTGTGTAAAAACAGTAAAAGTGGCTTTCCTTGCCCCTACATGTCCCTAACTTATCTCAACAAGACTCATAGAACATTCTCAGACTGTCTCAGGCTGTCTCCCATGTTTACCAGGCAAATTGTATTCACTTTGCTTTTAACACAAGTTTTTCCAAGCTTCAACTAGTCACTTCATCTCAACAAGCTGAAGCAAGTTGAGCTGGACAATGTTCTTAAAGCAGCTTTAAGACATCATTTTTCCAGCTGAAGGAATCCTATCTTAGTGAATTATATTAATAATTATGGAATGGTAATGGATTTTTTAAAAGATATTTTAAAAGTAATTGGGTGATAACAATAGAATATTCAAATGAAATGTAAAACTTTCTTATTTCATTTAACAAATACAGTCGCCATATACATGATCAGTTGTGTCAGACAAACTTGAAACCGTATCACAAACTTACTTTCAAGAGCTAGAAAGGAAATTTCTTAAATATTTAAATATTTAAACTATTTCTTATGATCTAATGTATTTTTTTTACATTATGTTATATATTCAGGTTTAGTCCAGATTCCCGATATCTGGCAGTTGGTTCTAGTGAGAACTCAGTGGATTTTTATGACCTAACATTGGGCCCCACCCTTAACAGAATCAGCTATTGCAAAGACATCCCAAGCTTTGTCATTCAAATGGACTTCTCTGCAGATAGCAGATATCTCCAGGTATGGCACCTAATACCATATACCCAGTTTACAAGGTTATTTCTGCTTTTACGTTGAATGCATTTAAAGCAGAGTTCCACGGCTTCTCAGCTCTTGCCTTTTGTTACCACTCATCATTTTTGCATTACAAATCTGTAATACCCCATTCTTTTTTAAAAATAAATTTCACTCTATTTAAGGTACACAACATGTTATGGAATACATATTTATAGACAGTGTTGCTATATGAAAGTAAAAGTCACTATAGTGAAGAAAATTAACATATTCATCATCTCAGAAACCCATTTCTCTTTTTGTGGCAAGACTGGCTAAATCTACTTATTTAGCATGAGTATCAAATACAATACAATTTTACTACCTGTAGTTCTCATGTTGCACTTTGAGCCTTGAGATATGTTCATCCTACACATCTACTACTCTGGCCTACATTCTCTCCATTTCCTTCCCACTTACCCTTTTCCCCATAGTGACTTTGGCATTCTTCACATTAAAATATGTAAAACAAAGTAGCAATTTGCCAGTGTTCTATAAACCCCTTGTGGATTTTGCCTTCACCTAATGGGATTCTCGTCTCACTTTACTTTGACAAAAGGTCTCTAGTGGTTGCTATAAACGGCTTGTCTATGAAGTGCCTTCAGGAAAACATCTTTTGGATCATGCTGCCATTGACAGAATTACTTGGGCTACATGGACTAGGTAAATACTGCATGAAAGGGCAGCAGCAACTTTTTAGGTAACTTGGAAAATCCTGTTTCTGAATAGTTAAGAGCCATTCCACAAGGGAATAGTAATTGAGTTCCATGTTTCTGTTACCATATCTTGAACTCTTAGGAAAATAATTTTATGTTCATGCTGCATCCCTTTGAATTGAACATATTTACGTGCTTTATCAGTCTCCATGATTTACCAAGTTCTTATAAAGAAATTTTTTTAAAAATCGAAGTTATGATTTTTAAAATGCCCTGATATGTTCCTGAACATTTAAAGACAGGTGCAAAGGTGCATACCTATAATCCCAGTGATTTGGGAGGATCTCAAGTCTAAGCCAGTCTAGGCAACTCAACAAAAACCCTGCCTCAAAAAAAATTTTTTTTGAAGGGTCAAGGGATATATCTAGCTTCAATTCTTGGTACAACAAATACAAAAATCTTTTTTAAAATTAAAACAGGCAATAAAAATATATGTTAGGTGCTATTAAGTAATGTAGTAGTAATATTCTACTCAAAGGAATGTTACACTAGCGTTGTTAGAAATGAAGCTTATCTATTTGATAAATTTGCTGACGGTATGACAGGTCACCAGGAGCATCCATCCTTTTGGTCAATGAAAAAATGACAAATTCCTATAGCATAGATATCACTTTTAATTTGAAAAATAATTCAGTCAGCTTTCCTAAAGTATTAACTGGGTTTTTAAAAGGATAATTTCAAAAACCCTTATTATATTATAGAACTTCAATTTTTAAAAGGTAGGAGTTAACATCCAGATGAAATCCAGTCCTCCAACCTGCCTTATTTTATTTTAAATGACAGGATAATATACAGACTGATAAGGATTGTTTTCAGGATAGTGAATCCATCTGTGTTTACTCTGTGGATGTTCTTTTTCTCTCTAGTATTCTAGGAGATGAAGTTATGGGAATCTGGTCCAGGCATGCCGAGAAAGCCGATGTCAACTGTGCCTGTGTATCTCATTCAGGAATCAGCCTTGTAACAGGAGATGACTTTGGCATGGTTAAATTATTTGACTTCCCATGTCCGGAAAAATTTGTAAGTTTTTTTTGTTTAGTATTTCTATCATTTTACAAATAGCTTAGATGTGATCATTCGTACTTTTTCGGAAATATTCAAATGTTTGGACTCGACTTTTAAAAGCATATTTCAAATGTTTCATACTTTCAAATTTTTGCACCCTTTTTTCAAGTCTCCTAAATCCATTACCACAAATGAAAGCAAATAAAATAAATGTCAGGCTGGGATAGTGGCTCAGTGGCAGAGCTCTTGCTTAGCGTATGTGAGGCATTGGATTAAATTCTCAGCACCAATATAAATAAATAAAATAAATGTCCATCAACAACTAAAAAGGTCTCCCTCCAATAATACCTCTGATATCTTTTTAGCAAACCTTTAAAAGTCAGTTATCAAATTTCCAATGCTTTTCTTAAAATCTTTCAGAGACCTGAAGACATCTGACTGCCCAGATAACCTGGTTTGTGTTAAGTATAGATCTGTTACTGTCTCTGAAAGAAAATTTTAATCATTGGGTGTGGTCCTAACTCCCTTCTCTCTCCATAGTTCTTGTGATTAAAAGTTTATGGTTCCTAATAACAACTTTTAATTTTTGTTAAATAAAATGTTCTGAGTTTTGTCTGTCATTGTTCTTTAGGCAAAGCACAAAAGGTTCTTGGGTCACTCACCCCATGTGACAAATATTCGATTTACCAATGGCGATCGACATGTTATCAGCGCTGGAGGTGATGATTGCAGGTCAGTAGCTTTCTTAGTCCAAGAAGAGCAGACTATCTTTTTACTATTTAATATAAAACTTCTGTAAGCTCTGGTTAATAAATTTAACATTTTCTAAAGGTAGTATATATATACTTATGCAAATACAGAATAAAGAGTTAATGGGAAATACAAACTTCTGAAAATCTAGAAATGTAATGAACTCCCTTACATTTTTTTTTTTTCTGATTGCAGTTTATTTGTCTGGAAATGTGTACATATGCCTCACTGAAAGAATGGATGTTGGGAAGACAACACATATTAACAGTCTTTAGAGATCAGAATTACAAAGAAGAAAAACAACCAAAACCAAACTCTGCATGGTCAAGTGGTGCTAACTGCAGACTAACAGGGAGAGATGCCCAGAATCATCAAGACTAGTAGAAGATTGCTAAGTTCAAAACATTTGCTATACACACTGTCCATAATTCATTTACTGCCAGATAATTACATTGAAGGAAGGATTGAATACTCGTTGATAAAAGCCACCCCATTATTATTGAGGAGTGCAATTTTGGCAAACCTGTTGGGGAGATGTAGGGTACAGCACTCCTCAAAAGACTCCAAAATGTAAAAACCCAACTCGGAAAATTTTCATCTTCCTTTTAGGAAAACTATTTCTTTTTTTTTTTTCCAATTAAGTATTTTATTCTTGCATTTCCATTTAGAAAGGAAAAGCCACCTCACCCTAATAGAACAGTTTTCAAAAGGCAAACATTTTCCCTATGGAAACAAACACAAGTTTTCCTGGAGAATGTTTCTCATACATTAATAACTATAAGGACATTTCTCCTTGTAGTTTGAATTGAGGAACAAATCCAAAGTTAGTAGTGTATGACTTGCTATATTTTCACTTCTAAGCTGTCAAATCTTTTTGTTTAAAAGCCATCTCTATATTTGAAATTTTAAGATTATAGCCTCATTATTAGGAAGGCAGTATGATGAACAATCATTTCCAGTGGTCTACAGTTTTGGGGTATTTTTTAAGGTTTTCAGATAACAATAGTATTTAAGTGGAAGAAAGCACTGCATATTAAACATTTGATTAACATTAAATTCACACAAACATAATTTAATAATTATTGGTATAAAACTTTTATAGCTTTTTCTATTGGGAAAATTTTAGTTAGACATATTGCCACCCCTCCATCAGCTAATTTCCAAAATATATGAACCTAGGTCCATTTGAAAACTTGTCAGAATCCCTTCTTAGTGGATTGAGGTTGAACTTTTAGATCCACAGTCCTTTTCACTTTAAATGCTGCCAAAGATCAGTAATCACTGTTCAGGAATTTGCTGTTTTAGTCTATCTACTGATTCTTGAAGACTGAAAATTAAATAGAGTGCTGCTTAAAAATATATTTTTCTAAATGTAAAGAAGTTAAAGATGTACTACTGGTCCTATAAATTTTTAATTTACTGTTATTTTCTTTTATAGTATAATAGGTAATAGAAACCCTTAGATTTCTGGGATTCCTAGTTTAGTTTGGTAATACATAATGAAGATTCCCAATATCTATTTTCTGTGGCCAACACTGGGAATACTAAAATGACTAAATTACATCACAGAAAGCCTAATCAGTGATTGAACCTGGTCAGTTTTAAAAGTAAAATAGCTGTCTCTCAAGGGTTGAATGAGGGATTAAAGAAACTTGACACATAGACTATATTCTGTCATTATTCACAATAAAAGATTGTCCTAGCTGGGTGTGGTAGCACATATCTGTAAATCCCAGTGATTTGGGAGGATGAGGCAGGAGGATTGCAAGTTTTGAGGTCAGCTTCAGCAACTTAGACCCCGTCTCAAAGGCTGGGGATGTGGCTCAGTGGTTAAGCATCCCACGCTGGGTTCAATTCCCAGTACCAAAAAATAAATAAATAAAATTTCCCTAAACCAAGGATAGTGGTATACAACTCCAATGCAAGCTACTGAGGAGACTGAGGCAGGAGGATCACAAGTCCAAGGCCAGCCTGGGAAACTCAAAACCCCATCTCAAAATTAAAAAATAAATAAATAAGGTTGTGGGGGTATTGCTCAGTGGAAGCAGTGCTTACCTAGCGTGCACAAGGCCTTGGGGGTTACATCCCCAGTACCACAAAAGAAAGGGGGGCGGGATTTCCTAAATTAAACAAAACTTCATATTAATTCTATTCAACATATTTTATGAAGAAATTAAAGGAAAAGGCATCCGGGGCCAACCTCACGTAAAAAGAAAATTACTGCAAATTTGAGCCTGTTGTAGTTTTAAATTTTCATTATTAAGTGTGTCGTTTTGAGGAAGACAAAAATTTCAATTCCATCACAATATAGTCAAACTATATTCTTAAGGAAGTAATCTATATAGCACAAACTGCTTCCATTGCATTTTTGTCCATCAAAGTGACTAACCTGGTAAGTCAGCCTTAATCACTTAATCACTGCTATGGCAGTTTCCTGACTGAAGGTCACCTTGACTTAAGTGGGCATCTTACCACCTTGCTGTATTAGCCATCAACTAAGGGAAGGTGTAACATGACCACATAAAATCTGCCCTATATTTTTTTAGCCTAGAGAATTATTTTTGTGTGCAGCATTTATGCTCCTGAATTTACAACTTGAGACTGGTGGCCACTGTAGTCCCAATTCTTTTATGTCTATACATGCATGCCAAAGCACATCACACACTTTGGTATTATTTACTTCATTATCACCAACCATCTTCATCCCCCTTCTGTTTTTATAGTGGTTCATTTTAGACTCTGTTAGACCAACCAACAAATATTTTAGGGTCAATTTTAAGCTGCCCACAAACTGAAAGATAAATATTAAAACAATCAGATTTTAGCATGTTATTTCCATGTAAAAGATTTACGCTAAACCACTTAAGCCCTTGTTCTAATGGAACTATGAAAACTAGAAACCATTTATAAATGATAGTTTAAATAAATCATTTAAAAACAAATTTCTTCTGCAGAGATGCAAAGCATCAACACTGAAATGAACAAATGCCTTAAATTCAGTGGAGCACTCTGAGAATGAAGGGGACTGTCACCTCACCTAGCCTAGCACAGTGGTTGTACCGCCCTTGTGTGCTTTGTTCTTTCAGTGTTTCAAGTCTTCATTTTGGGATCTCCACAGCCAAGTGCAGCTCACCAAATGGTTTAACAACTAGTTGTTTCTTCTCCCAATGGAAAAACCAATGATCACAACAGTAGAAGCCTGGCTTTATGATCTTAAAATGCTTTTTATAGATGTGGGTTTATTATCCATCCTTCAAGAATATGACTAAGTCAATCTTTTTTTTTTAAACAGTTAATTTGGTCCTGAAAACATCTGAATCTTTATTATCCCATCTGCATTAATTCACTCTTTACTAACCACTTTTTAAGATTTAATTTTTAAAAACACTACTATACATCAATAAAATCAATTATCTGTTTGTTATTTAATTCTAAAGCATTGGACACATCTTGCCTTAACAATTTTAAAAACCACACACAAAACTCAATAAATACAGTAGGCCAAAAGTTTCATCCTGTCTTGCAGTTTACCCATCTGATCTCTGTAATTATATAGCTCTGTCATTTAAAAATATGACTTAAATCTAATTTTTACATTTCAAAAATGATCTTCAGTAGTAACCAAGTGTATTTTCTGTGGAGTTATTTCTGAGAATGTTATTTTTCAGAATGTGGGAATATATATTTATAATCTGTTTAAAAGTTTGTTTTCTCTGATCCTAATGTATATACTTGTAAAAATTTTTGTATATTTTGTGACAATGTAGTTCCCCAAAAAGTTTATTTAAAAAGTATGTTAATAGTAAATGAAAGTATTTTAAAGGAATTGTTCATATTTTTTGCACTTGTCATTCCAATTGCTTTCTTGTTTATGCCCATCCCACTCCTTTCACAGAAGGCAAGGGACATAGGGACCACTGCACCAAAGTGGCACTCAAACTCAGAGGCCTGTACTACCATGTTTTTCTAACTAAATTCTTTTAAAAATTAAAACAGATTTGAGTGACTATTTTAAGCTGCCTCAATACTTTTGGCCACTCCTGTTTTCATGGTGGACTACAAACATCATATCATCTTTGGGAAGAGTGAAAGCAATTCTGCTTTCAAAATAACAGCACTCCTCAGTACAGCCAGTGGTCCTAAACTGAAAGAACCATCACTAACAATGATGGCATGTGCTGAGACTGAAGCAGCAGTGTACAAACATGCCTCAAATGTTTTAATAGAATTTAGCTTTTCCTTAAACTGTCTTTTCATAATCAAAACAACAACAAAACACCCAATGTTAAAACTACTTAATAAACTTACAAACTTGAAAAATTAGACACTTCAGATAGACAATAAACTTCATGTTATGAAAGCAATATATTCCAAGTTTCAAAGATTCGACAAATTCTGTAGAATTATCTTTCATCAGTAGATGGAACCTTTCAAACTGCATGATCTTCCACCAGATAGGACTGGGCGTCATTCACTAAATAAACAAAAACCAAAAAAACACTTTTAATAAACTGCTTTGTACCCAGATGTATCATTCAGCCAGCTAAGGAGTTTCTTTGGACAAGGAATATTGGTCATGCAGTTACATCAGACTTTGTTTAAGAAAAAAAAAAAGTCAATTTTATAAAACAAAATATGTAACTCAAATATAGGCCACAATAAATTATGTTCAAACTTCCTTTTTATAGTTTACAATTGCTAATGTCTAAGAAAATGATTTGAGATTCATAAGTACTACATACACACATAGCATAGTTTATGATCAGAATTCAAAGAAATCTGATGTGTAGGATAAAAATAAGTAATCACAAGATAAAATAAAATTTGGTCCATAGTAAATCATTTTGCTAAAGGGTCCCTGGTACAGTTAAACAAGAAAAAGAAAAGAGTGATAGTTCAATTTCTCCCAGGTTTCTGGATTTATACATTAAATAAGCTACATACTAGAAAAATATTTGAAAATGACATCAAAAGAATTAATTTTCATCTTTACCTGGTTTGAGGTCGAATCCATTTCAAGGCATGTCTTGGTGGTACAGTAATGGTGGGATGATAGAATGTACAGTCTGGTCTTGTACACTGAGTGTTAAATCTACAGTGCTACATAGAAACAACAGCATGAATAAAACAGCAGCATTCAATAACATGCATAAAATTAAACACAACTTGAGAGTAACCAGCCCACCCCTAACCATTAATGGAGTAAGATACCTGGCAACCCTTGATGAATGAACCTTTCCCTGGGATGCAAAATCCTAATCAAAGAATCACAGCAAGTAGAATTTCAAACCTTAGCATACCATACAGACTTCTAATCAATATAGTATTTATCCCTCCATAAACTGCCTAACATCCCTCATCAAAGCTTTTGTGAGTTTGTGATGAGGCCTTACATATTCTGGTTAAGCATTCTACCACTAAGCTATGTCCCCTACCCTGAAAGCCTTTCAAATAACAATCTTCAGGCTGGTATTTCAGAGATATTCACTCTGAGCAGCCAGCTACTGATACATCAACAATCTTTAGCACACAAAACCATCAGTTCAAGTAAAGCAATAATTCTGAACTTCATTATCTCAGTTTGTTATGAGGTTAAAAAAACAAAAAAATCCCAAATGCTCAGGGGCAGGAAAAAACGGAAAATATGGCAAGCAAAGCTGACCCCTATCCTCTCAGAGCTCAAAATAACTAACATGAAAGAGGTTCAGACCACTTAACATGAAGAGCCACAGAGCTCAGCAACAACCAAGAACCAACTTAAAACAGTTCTTGAAGACAATAAAGTCAACTGACAAAAATGATATAACACTGGGAAGGACAAAGAGAGGAAGAGATGCAATTTCTTAGTGATCTTCCACACTAAAATGATTTTGGGGAAAATACAAGTTCTTACTTTTGGATGGTAGAAGGGACATTCCATTTTCTTACATGCTGGGAAGTAACGGCAGAGCTGACTACTAGAAGATGGTGTTGGTGTTGTAACTGCTGACAAATGTAAGAATAAAGAATATCACATTTGACAAAATAATTTTATTGCAATCTAATGATTCCTTTTTAGTTGTCAACGGACCTTTATTTATTTATATGCAGTGCTGAGAATCAAACCCAGTGCGTCATGTTAGCAAGCACTCTGCCACTGAGCCACAATACCAGCCCTAATGATGATTTTAATGGAGGTGCAAACCACTTAAATTAGTATGCTAAGTTTTATGTGTTCACTAGTCAAGATAAAATACTTCAGAATTCTCTAGAATGGGCATACTAGCTCTGTAAGACTAGTATGATTAATTGACCATGTCAAAATTATTTCTAAATTTCTTTTTCTCATGCTTTCTTTTTTTTAACCTAAATGCAGTAGTATACAGTCACTAACCTGGTTTTGGAGGCAGTACTGGAATTCTTCTACTCATATGAGTAAAGGGACAATCTGGCTTAGTACACTTTGCGTCAAATTTACAATTTGGATGAACAAACAAACATTTTTCAGCAAATTTACAATTGGGGAAGGCTCTACAAAACAAAGCACATTATTCACAGTTAATATTCTCAATGCATTATTATTTTTTTGTAAAGTGGCTTCTTGTACTCCATCACTACTTGTTTTAAGAAATGCAGAAGTCAGAGGAAAAAATTCTCCCATTTTTAAATGAGGCTAAATATTATAATAGGATAAAACTATGTCCTTCAAAGCCCGGAGCAACACAAAAAGGTTTTCAAACAAAAGCCAAACCATCAGAAAAGGTAGATTTGTGTGTGTGTGTGTGTGTGAGAGAGTTAAGAGACATGATACTTTATCAGTAATGTCTATCATTTGTGAAATAAACTCAATACAGCAAGCACATCCTATGGGCCAGGTACTGTGCTACAGATTCATGGTCTCCTTATGTGTAACCACATTACTCCCACATCAAAATTTCATTACAGTAATTAAAATGTGGAAATACTCTATCCACGGGACAAGAGAAAAATTCTAAAAGCTATCTCACGAACCAGCTAGCTGGTCAAAGAAAACTAAATGAAGTTTAAAAATACTTTTCCATTACCATAACTAAATTTCTCCCCAAATCCCCAACAAAATTTTTGCCTGTGAACACAGTAATACTAACAGAGGCAGTTATGTACCTATCTCCTTAAGTACAAACATTTAAGGAACCCAGACATTTCAGTTATCTAATAGGTCCAAAGCAAAAGAAGCACCCCCCCCCAAAACACACCTGTATGCATGCAGCACAAGTAAGCTACTCTACCGAGGGCCACGGTACACATGACTGTATTTAGTTATGAAAATCAAACTTATCCACCAAAAACAACCCCACAGAACTGAAAACCAGCATCAGTTTTATGTTACTCACTTGCAAGGTGAAATCGGGTGATGGTATGCACATTCATCCCCATTTTTACAAGCAGGCCAGTACTTGCAGCGCTCCAAAAGCTTTTCTGGTTTTTGTACCACACTCAGTTCACTCATCTCAGCTACAAAGGGGAAAGAATTAAAAGTATCTCATTAATTATGAGCAATTCAGTACATGGTTCCTTTAATAAACTTCCGTTAAACCCCAGTCTTAAAATCTTAACATGTTAAGTTTACAATCCTATATAATACAGGAGCCCAAATCTGATTAACTATAGTATAAACAAAATTCCATAGGAAAAAAAAAAGATTACCAGGAAGGAGACTATAACTATACTCCTCTCATTGTAAAAACGAAAAGTGAACAGTGATTACATACCTAAGGCCCAAATTTTCATCAAAATCTCAGTATCATTTGAATTAAATATAAAAGACATGGGAGGATGTCAAGTTGGGAGCTAATAAAATTAAATGGAAACCAAAAACATAAGGTGATAAGGAAATATAAACAAAATTTCATATTCCAGCAAGATTCTGAGTGCTCAAATGTGTTCCCATTTGATGAGGTATATTCATTAAGTCTGGGTGCTAAAATCACAGCACTGTCTAAAAAGAGGAAAACAGCTTTATTTAAAATGTTTCAGAAATGTCATTGTCTATAGGGGCTGGGCAAGTCATCTCTCAGAGAAAATATGGCTGAGTATAGAATGATAATTGGCAGAAAGAGAGAGGGGAAGAACAGCAACCTGGAATGATCTCACTGCCTCTCCACTAATTCATGTCCAATTAGGTCAATTCCTATGGCACAGGAGAGGGGACCTGTGTTGCCAGATATTTATCCTCCCATTTCAGTTTTTTTTTTTAATGCCTTTTTTTAAAAATGCTTACAACTAATTTACATTTAGAACACTGAATAAAACAATTCAAATTATACCTAAAGGCCATTATCAGCTGCTCGATTCTGGCCTAACATAACAGCCAAAAAAATAGCATCATGGTGTTACATGTTATGTGTTCATATTTGTGTTTATGAAAGTAAATTATCACTGCAGCTGTATTCCTCCAGTCCTCTTGCCTGAGGTCAGGCAGGTCAAATCTAGCTCTGCACCTTAAGAGCTCAGCTAGACATACTGGGTGTTATCTACCGTCACTGTACTTGAGTTTCCTTATCTATACAAAGAGAAAATGTCTTCCTTAGAATCTGATGGTTATATGGAAAGAAGAATGCAAAAGAGGCAACCACTTATAACCTAATTTACTGATCCTAGGACACAACTTTTGTCCTCCTTACAGAACATGGAACTTGAATCCAATCACATAGCCCAGACAGGAGCATCATTAAACAGCTATTATGACCACGCCTAATACATAAACTTTCTATTCTACTTTTAAAATAGTAGGGGCAGGCTTGAGTTGTAGCTCAGTGGTAGAGAGCTTGCCTAGCATGTGTGAGGCACTGGGTTCAATCCTCAGCACCACATAAAAATAAATATAATATCGTGTTCATCTACAACTAAAAATATATATATATATAAAAAAAAAAAAGTAGGGACTTGGGATGTAACTCCGTGACAGAGCATTTACCTAGCAAGAGCAAGGCAAGCCCAGCATCACAAAATAAAGAAAATTGGTAAAGTCATTTATTTTAAATTCAGCTTTAGATCTAAGATCTAAAGAATACCTCAGAGCCTGGGAAGAGGAATTTCCTAATTTTTAAACTTCTGTTTTTATTCTTGAGGAGAAAACATGTCCTGCCCTCCTCCTAAACAACACATTTGTGGCATACACACGAGGACCCAGGGCAAATGAAAATTAATTATCAAAAAGCAGCATGGCTGGGAAAAGGACTGAAATAGCAAAATACTTAACAATATTAAGGAAATGAAACACTTTTTACAAGGAAAATTTCTCTGATGAAAACCCTAAGCAACAGACACAAAAGTCATGCCTCTGGTTTTCCTCAACTGACATTTATTTCATAAGTTATTACAACTCTTCATATTTAAGTTTTAAGAGACAAATTTACTTTTTATTGAAAGCTACAAAATCTATGCTGCCAGAAAATGATGGCCAGTAGGGTGGCACTCTGTAATACCACTAAAAAGCAGAACTTCAAAACTCCCTTCTTCGAGGCAGATACTCCTTGTGACAGCTCTTCAGGAATCTCTCATGCCACACTCATGTCCTTGTTACTACAAAGCTTTCCTCAGGCAGGAGCAAATCACTGCAAACCCTAACCACAGCACTGGGAAAGGAAGCTCACCACTCATCCCAGCTGTGTCCACCACGGCCACGGCACCTGTGTAACCTAGGCAAGAATTGTCACTAACATATTATTCATCGTGTCACTGCTACTGTACATACCAACTCAGCCTAACATGAACACCCACATTAGAATGAAATTAGATCCTGACAAAAAATATTAGTCTATCAAATTGAAACACAGGGAAAAAAAATTTAAAAACAGATACATAAGAGTAGTTTAAAAAAAAAAAAACAGAACTTCCTCTATTTTAGACAAAACACACAAGTCAAGAAAGCTATACTACCTGACTATTGCAGTTCATCCCTGGTAACTATTTTTAAATTTTCCCTGTTAACAGGGTCATAATTTTCAACTCCTTCCACAAACCAAAATAATGACACCTATATCACTGGCTCACAAAAGGAAAAGCACTCCAAGATAACAGTATTATCTCACTAACTCATCATCTCCCTCAACAGTATACTTTAAGCAATTGGCAAAATATTCAATACATTTTTATATCTCTGGCAATAAGAGGGGTACTTGGGGAAAATTTTTTAAATTACTGTTTTTCTTTGAATCTGTTCATTTTTAAGATTTAAGAATTCTCTCTCCTGCCAATGAAAGATGTTTCTAAAAATTCCCTATCATGAATGAAAAAGGAGCAGTGGTACTATAGTTCCTTCCACTGGTATCCGGGGGGACAAGAAAAGTTGGTGATAAAAAAACATCTGCCTGCCTAAATGCATAGCACTACCTGAAGCAGTCTCATGTAACTTCTGTTAAATATTATGCTTCAATATTCAATCCTAAGATGTATCCTGATAGATAAGGTGAAAAACTCTTTAAGAAATTTTACAGAGGTGGAAAGAGCATCAAAAATCCAAATTCACTTTTCTCTCAAGTTAATTGATAAAAGATTACTGCTGGTATCATGAAAGAGTGACAGCAGTTTCTAAAGGGAGGGGAAAAAAAATAAAGTAGCCAAGGCATCAAGATGATGGTTCATTCTTCAACAAGCATAGTTATGTGGCAATTTAGATTTCATCACCAAACTCCATTTAAGTGTGGATAACAGCCCCGCTATGAAACACAGGAGAAAACGTCTGAGATATAACAGATGGTTTTGTCTGAAAGAAGAAAAGGCCATTACTGAATATAAATAAAAGCCAGGCCTCCAACCAATATTTATTTAAGGTAAAAGAAAGAAGTCAAGGATTCCCTTTACAAGTCAGCACCCTGAGAAGGGAAAATCTGAGCTCTCAACACACCGTAGGAAAAGCTACCATCTGGGTCACCAAGCTGCCTGCTCATCAACTGCAACTGCTGTGGGTGGAGGAGACCTTTGAGTCCCTTGTTTGAGGCTGCAGTTTGGTTTACGGGTTTCATTCCTTCAAAGCACATGTCCTCCTCTTGATCTGACATGTATCCTGGGGGGCTGGGGACACCATCCAGCGTCACTATAAACTTGGGACTTGCAGGTTTATCTGGTTGTACAAGATCTCTGCCAGACAGATAAAAAATACCATAGAATTAGGGAAACAAACACAAAACGCTGAGCTCCTAAAGTGCTCTTCAGCAGAACTATTACTCCCTTGCTTGGTGTTTGGTTCAGTAAAAAAAGACTTGCTAAGATTCCAAGTACAGCATTAGAGGATTCCTGATAACACAAGGTGGCCATGCCTAGTCACTGCAGCATCACCAGTGACCTAACTTGTGCTTACTAAAGACAATCTCCCCTCAACACTGACTCCACTGTCCACCTGATCCTCCCTAGGTTAACGTGGAAAAAAAAAACCAAAAAATTAACACAGATGCCCAGATCACAATGGCCAGCAGTTTTATGTCTATACTAATTTTATTATCTGTACTTTTCTTCCTTTATAGAATACTTGAACCATTTTCTAAGGGAAGAATCTCTCAAACTCAATCTACAAACTGTTTTTAGAAAAATGTCCTGATTCTGGTTACCTGGCTTTTAAAATTTCATTTTGTGCATGTGCATAAAGAAAAAAACTCTTACTGAGCTAAATTATATGCTAAGTTTTATTTGTAGATCAATGGATTTCTGAATAAGAAAGATGAACTGGAATTGTTGAAAACTGCATTCAGGTAACTATTCATGGCCTAGCTACTGAATCAATAAAAGCACCCACTGCTGGAAACTGGGGCAGGGAGGAGGGAAGCTGGGAACTACTGGTAGACCTGCACTATCTAATCACACAAATTAGCTACACAAGAAAAAGAAACCATCTACCGTGTCTGCATAAGGTGTCCTGAAAGTACCCGAAGGGTATCTGCAGTCTTCATCCCCGACTCTTGGTTTGGTGCCACTACTATTTCCTCAGACAGCTTTGGCTTCTTCAGAATAAATGATCTTGTGTCTGCATGGACCATGGATTCCATGTCATAGTAATCTGAGCCAAAAAAATTGGCCATAAATGTTTACTTTTGAATACACCTTTTATTCCCAACATCACACATGTGAGAAGAATGTCAATCTTTTATAAATTACAGTTACTTTCAAAGGAAAATCACAACTGGTTCTTCTCAGGAAAAGTGTTGTAATTCTATCCCAAACATCTTTTCAAAGAACTCAAGTAGTCCCTTCCTCATATGGCACATTACACATGACTTGAATGAACACTCCCTGCCTACAACAGAGAAAGGTTCTCCTGAGATTCATTTAAAAGGATATTATCAACCACTAAAAGCAGAACAGTTTTTTCTAAAGACATGGAGAATTATAGATGCCTAGAATCATGATACACATGTTGAACTACTTTTCTAAAATCTATTTTGCTCATTCTACACAGTAGTCCTTACAGAGAAGAACAAAACCTGCTAAAAATAATTCATGTGGCTTATTTTCTACCTGATTGTAGATAGAGGACTACTTTGAAAGGGAATTATCACAAATGGGCATTACACTGACGTTCAATGCAAATAACCACAAGCTCGTATCATCTACAATATGCTTGAGACTGACTATAATATATGAGACCTACAGCCCAGAATGGATATGGCTGACCTATCAGTATGCCACCAACTAAATTTAATATTTTTTAATAACAGGGACCAAAATTCACAGGATATTCACTCCTGAACAAATAATTACTACACAGCTGAGAGTACTATGCCAGATACACAAAGAAAAGGGGGGGAAAATAGACATATACACAATTCCAGAACAGCACGACCTCAAAGGGATACAAACAAGTGTTGGGAAAATACAAAGCAACCTGCTCAAACTGAAGAATCAAGGAAAAGCTTGCCAAGGATGAAGAGTTGAGTGAGTATTAAAGGAATGAGTGCCAGAGAGCAAAGAAAGCACTTCATGCAAAGAAAAGCACATGTGGCAAAACAAGGGAGTTAACAAGGTCTATGAGAAAAAGGAGAAACGTGGAGTGGCTGCACAGGTTGTGTGCAGAAGGCTGAGCAGATGAGTGGCAAGAATACAATGAAGGACGTTTTATGTCTCAATTCTTTGGATTCTGGTCTGGAAGTAATGAGAAATGAACAGATTTCTAGAGAAGTGACATGACCAAGTTGGTTTTTAGAAAAACAGTGTTACAGAAGGACATGAGTTCTGAGATTCTTCAACCCTCTGTCCCTATAACATATCTGAGAGGGGGAGAAGACACACTCCACACCCCATCAGCACCAGGATGTCCCAAGAGCTGCCATTCGAACCACCTTATCAGGAAGGGACACCCCTGCTCTCCCCAGCAAGAGTAGAAAAGATGGCAAAGGGGAACAAGATGGTTAAGAGAAAGAGAGAAAGATGAGATGGGAAATACAGGAAAAAGAGAAGATTTAAAAGGTAATGTAAATTTCAATTTTAGACATATTTAGCCTCAAGTCTTTGTGGAATTCTTAGATGTTTAGGAAGAAAACAGATTTGACCCTCAAGATGAGGAGAGATAGATGCAGAGATTAATTCAGTGCTGCCACCTCATTGAATCCTCCTAGGAAGCCTGAAAAACAGTATTTTTTTCCATATTATTGATGACCAATTCATAGCCCCCAGTTCTTTAACTGCCAACCGAGATTTCCTGACTGGCAAAGGCAAAGCCCAGAAGTTGATCTGCTGCAGCATTCCTTCCTCCCCCTGTATTAAGAGAAAGTAGTTCCACTAGTTCACACCTGGTGAGAAACACAAAACCGAGATTAAAATAACGCTGAGGAGCTAGGTGTAGTGGCACACACTTAATCCCAGCTACTCAGAAGCCTGAGGCAGAAGGATTACAAGTTCAAAGACAGCCTGGGAAATTTAGCAAGACCCTGCCTCAAAATAAAAAGGGCTGGGATAAAGCTTAATGGTAGAGCATCCCGGGGTTATTGCTCCAGTACTGCCCCCCGCCCCCCGCAACACAAAAAAATTTAGCTCAGGGATATGGATAAGAGGTTACCTTCTGAGGAGCAGTGGAGAAGAGAAGCTGTTAGAGAATAGGAATAGCAAATAGAGCAGAGTCCTGGAAGCCAAAGGATCAAAACTCGAAGAAAACATGGAAAGCAAGCGTCATGTGCCTCAGAGCTTAGGGAAGTGTGTGTCGAAACCACAGCTTCCCATATACACCAGCCACCAGGTCACCTCTGTAAGCTTCCCATCAGCAGCCTGGGTCACAAGCAGATGAGAGTGGGAGATGTCTTCTGGTAGACAGAGCAAGCTGACCCTGCATTACTTTTGTTCCCTCCTGAAGCCCCATGAAACTGTCAATAAAGATTAGTTTTAAAAATCTGTGGTGCCTCACATACATGCCACAAGTGCTCTACCACTGAGTACCCACCACCCAGCCCAAGTGGTAAACAACAAAGCATATACCTACAAAGAAAGTAATTATAAAAGGAGACAAAACTACATTTTGAAAGTATAAAACAGATGAGGAGGCATTAATAACAGAATTGCAAAAACTGAATTCTAAGCCAAAACAATGCAATCCTATTTAGATCATGAGATTCTCCAAAAGCCCAGGAAATGTCAGCAAAGGGGAAGGACATAAGAGGGGTATGCTGCTCAAGGGTCCACTTCAGAAGCAATCAGTCTTTCCTAAACACTAGTTCTACTGATTTGATTTGTTTGACCCTCACCACACCTACCCCTACCTCTCCAGTGAAGACCTTCTGAATGATGTGGAGATGTGCTGCAGAGGCCTAGGGATGAAAGAGTATGGTCTTTGACAGCACATTCCACAACAAAACAACCTAAATATTTATTATGAAAATTTGTTTAAAAGGTAGTAGATTTTCAAATAACCTTTAATCATTTCATACATTAAACCAAAAACAGTGGAATTTTAGGCTTGTGAGAAGGTAAATACAGAGAATCCCTGCATCAAGGGATGCCAAGCCATACTGAAAGAAGTCCACACTGAAATGGGGAGGTATGTTAGGTAAACATTGCATAATAATTAATGCTGAGGAACCCACCATGCAGCCCTCTTTGGAAAAGCTAACCACCCTGAGAAGAAAGGCCTAAAGGCACTCCAAAACTAGACAGGAAAGACAAATAACTCCCAATAACAGGACCTACATTCAAATATGAAGTCAAGAGCCCCCACGCCCAAACCCATGAACCAAATATCAATCCACTTTGAATGCCTCACTCAGTAAGAGACAACTAAGGATCCCCACAGGGAAAGCCTCTACCATGAAACAGTCAAAACAAGCAACTTGAAAACAAGACCAAGGAAGAAAAAATCCAAAGAATTGTGAGAAACCTTCAGCATTCTCAGATAAAAAGTATTACAAACATGAAACAAAATTGGTATGTTCAAAAAATTTTTTTAAAAGTAGAATATGCAAAAACTGAAGATTTCTCAGGGATAAAAAGGATAGGAACTTAAGGACTATAGTCATTCATGAGCCACACAATAACTACTTGATACTTCAAACTTTATGTGCACTTGCAGGTTTTAAAAAAAAAAAAAAGAATGCACAAAAGCCGATGAAGTGAGTCTAGCGTATACAGATCTTGATTGTCAAACTTCTGGGGAGAAAAATTACTATGTCTAAAGCAGGATGGAATGCTGGAAGATGAGAGGGTAAAATAAAGACTGGACAGCATCTCAACACTTCATAGGCAAAAGCAAAAAGCTAGAGGAAAGGCAGAGACAAGCTGGAGGAAGATGGTGACATGGTCATGCTCATCAGATGGGTAGGATCTGGCACCTGCATGAAGGTGAATCCGTAGAGAAGGAAAGGGTATCTGTCTGGGATAGAGAGCTGCAGAAGGGTAAGGGAATACAGACACTGTATTTCTGTACTGTAGGGTGAAGAAAATTCAGAAAGGGGTTGAAAGGGAAGGAGTCCAAGGACCAGAACTTCTAACAAAGAGCAGACTTTGGGTAAACAGAAGAAAGGAGGAAAATAGATTTCAGGTATCCCATGGTCCCCTGAATTTATTAGGCACTGAATGTGCCAGGTGGAAGGGGTTGGGCACTGAGGAAACAACTAAAGCACTCACCCCAGTCCTGAATTTCCCCGTGGTATGTATGTCTGGGGTGAGTGAGACAAACAATTATATGACAGTGGTTTTAAAACATGTTCTATATGTGGCCTTGGCAATAAGATTCTCAAGTGAAGTCAAAGTGAGGATAAGACTAGTGGATAAAGTACAGGATTCTAAAGCTCATCAGGGTAGTGGAAAAGGGGGTTAACAAGGAAGAGCAAGTTAGAGAACCTGAGTTGTCCCTGACAGCAAGAGAATGAACAGCCAGGATTCAAGGAGGAATGGCAGGAAAAAGGTTTTGAATGAGGTAAAAAATAAAAACACCATACAATATGAGGAAAATGCAGATCTTATCTCCAAGCCCTAAAATATTTCCACAGATCTAAGTGTAACATCTTAGGGCAGGATCTAAGAAATACAAGACACAATGAATGAGGGGTAAGGAATGGCAATGGCAACAGAAAACTACTAATTACAGTGAAAATTTATTACCAACCTTGACTGATCTGCAGTGTTTCTGCCATTACTGGGTCAATTTGCAGTCGGGATAATAATTGCCTCTGTTGAGTTCCTAGAATATAAATTTTAAAACTTCACTAAACTTAAAATACAAATACCAGCATTTGTTTCCTAGAAATTAATCTTTCTGAGTTCTTAATTAAAAGTCAACAAAGCTTTGACAATACACTTTGATAATATTTATAGACCACAGGCATATCCCTGTATAAGAAAAAGCTGTACTCAAGATTAAACCAAAAACAGCAAGGACACTCCTGGTTCTCCATCTGAAAAGCCAGTTTTCTTGGGCTGGAAGTAAAACCTGTGAGAGAAGAACTGAGTTAGAGTCAGAGGAAAGTCAGAGGGCCTCAAGAGACTGGCCATGGTCAACTGTATCATAAACACAGCAAACCCAGATTCTCCCTTTGTCACCTGGGGTCTCACCAATACTGCTCACTTCCCCCATACTGATCCTCTGATCTTTGATGATTAAGACAGTGAAATGTGAAAAAGACAGAATTATCTTGTCCAAAAAAGGTGCTTCAACAGAGAACAGATAAAGAAAATGTGGTATATACAATGGAACATTACTGAGCCCTAAAGAAGAACGAAATTATGGCATTTTGTCAGTAAGTGGATGGAACTGGAGACTATTATGCTAAGTGAAATAAGCCAGTCCCAAAAAACCAAAGGCTGAATGTTCTCTCTGATATGTGGTTGCTAACACACAATGGGGAGGAGGGTGGGGTGTAGAGTAGAAGTTCACTGGATTATACAATGGGGAATGAAGGGAAGGTGGAAATAGGAAAAGACAGAACATAACTTTCCCATGTTCATATGTGAACATATGACCAATGAAACTCCACATCATTTACAACCACAAAAATGGGATCCTAATTAGAATAAATTCTACTCCATGTATGTGTATCTACTGTATATCTAAAAAGAACAAATAAAAAATGAAAACAAAATTCTCAAAAGTAAACTATGGGCCTTGATGAATACAGAAAGAGCAACAAACAAGTACAACACTCAGAAGCATCCAGGCCCTTACATGGGCAAACATGAAGGTGGTCAGAACACCGCTAAAGAGGTTTCAGTTGAATCAGATATATGATGTTGGTCCACAGGATTGTACTGCCCAGTGACAGCTGCAACTATCTTAGTTTGTAGAAACCTATTTGCATGACAATAAAATCACCTAGTGACACATTTCTGAGACTATTTCCTTTGTTAGGTGTTTGACTCTCCAACTGAAAAGGTGTTCAATTAAAGAGTGCTAATATGACTTCTTTTTTCCCCCAGAACTAGGACTGAACCCAGGGGCACTCTACCACTGAGCTACATCCCCAAGCAGTTTTGAGACAGGGCCTCACTAAGATGCAGAGGCTGGCCTTGAGAACCTGTGATCCTCCTGCCTCCCGAGTAGCTGAACATGCATCACCAAGATGATGGTTCATTATTAAAAGGTTCATATTAGTTCTTCATTTTAGATTTATAATATTAATTCATAATATTACTAATAGTCATACTACATACAAAATAGTCAAGAAATGACTATATCTTCATTAGCTGCATGAGAGGACTGACACTTCTCTGTATCCTCTCGTCCCAATGCTTAACAATATTACATACCTAACTTGCTAATTTCGTACAGAAGTGTTACATTTAAAATAAAAAGTGTTACATACTACAGTGGACCTATTATGTGTTGTTTCCCAAGGACAGGCTTTGCTTTATCACTGCAAATATATAAGTGGACCATCTCTCATCAAGTACCACATTTCATTAGATTAAAAAAAAAATTAAAAACACTCAATTTGATATTTCATTTGTTATTTCCTAATAAAACAAAGTTACATTACACTACTCTTCAGTGGTGTGCCCCAAAAAAAGGGATGAATTCCTTTCAAAATTATCGTGGCAAATACACAAATTCTGAGAAACGGACCTGAAACCCAGAGGTCATTTGGTCAAATTGTATTCCTACGGGACACCTAAAAAACTGACATGTGACAGGTTACAGAAAAAAAATGTTCTTAGAACCCAAATACCAGATTCAAATACCATAACAGGTCTCTTTAACGTAACTGTAGATAATAATTATAAATTTTAAAATAATTTCACACAGATACTTGAAACAGGACCATTCTCTCACTTTTAAAGATTTGCTTCGTCTCTATGCTCATCTTTATATCATTTGACAGAGCTCCACTAAAAATAGGTGGAATTCTAAAAATTCTAGGTTTCTAAGTTAAATCATGTAGTCAAAAAAATTTGACTTTTCTATATCTTACTGCCTCCAAGTCAGAGTTACAGTCAAGATGTATGGGAAGATAAAGATCAAACGATGAGTACCTAGAAGATACCAGAGTTTACCTTTCTCAATATTTCTAAGGAAGCCAATTATTTTTACATCAGTAGCCCTTGACTGTGATTCAAAATCTATTTCCTCTTGAAAATCTTCCAACTGTCTGTTGCATTCAGATGTCGATGCTGAATATTCATTCATTTTAACCTCCAAAGATAATATCTTTGCTTCGTTCTGAGACACTCTAACACTGAGATCAAAAAGATTTGCTTCCACCGTCAAAATTGCTGCTTTCATTCCTTTAATTTCATTGATATCAGTTGATATTTTCCTTAGAAGTTGGGAAATATTGTCTAGCTCATTTTGTGAACAAGAAGAACTTGTTACAGAACCTAAATCTACTGGCTCTGGTGAGAGGAAAATCGGTAGAGATGGTGATGGAAACCTCGAAGACATTCTCATAAAATTATCTCTAAATATCTGTTAATTTTTCCTTCACAGCCCATTAAATTGTCTTATCAAAAGTAAAAGCAGTGATCAATGATGTTACCTCAATAAGTATTAAGAGTGAGTAACATTTTAAGACCTGTAACTGAAAAATCAAGGTTGTACATTTCTAGAGTCAGAACTTAAATCTGAAAAACTAAACACACCAGACCAATTTTCTCTTGGCTACAACTAAGAAACCCTAATACATAGCCAGCTATAACTTCTAAGTCCTACTTATAGGTCCTCTCCAAATAAACCCTATTATTACATACAAATCATACTGGTTTCTGATTGGTTGAAGAGAGACATGTGTCAGCAAAAAGAATTTCCTATTATTTACTTCATATTATGGGAACACTGAGGAGCTACGCCTTAAATTAAGCAATATAACAACAGCAGGTGCTTTATATCTGAATATGTTATGAATTTAATGTACTTTTTCCCTTTTGTCCATTAAACCATAATTTTCAAACTTGTATTACTCTTTCACCTCAGCTTCCCAAGTGAACAGGATTGTAGACATGTGCCACCATGCCTAGCCGTGGCTATTTGTGTATTTTATTTTACCTTAAATTTCATTTCCCCTTGAAAACAGTATAAATAGCACTGCACTGGCATTATCTTTGCAGAATATGAGTAGGGAAGGTGAGTAGACTCATAATCACACACAAAATCTCTATAAAAATTACATATGGAAAAATGGACTTCAACTGCACTTAAGGTGTGGAATTAAGGATAGGCTTGATTTGACACTAGATCATTATTAGATGTGTGATTTTCAGGTATTTTCTCCCATTCTCTGAGTTGTCTTTTCATTTTTTTGATGGTATTCTTTGAAACACAAGGTTTTAACTTTGATGAAATTCATCTATTTGTTGCTGTGCTTTTAGTATCATATCTAAGAAACTAATTATTTAAAAGATAAAAAAATAAATTAAAAAAAAACGAATCCTTAATCCAAGATCATACAGATTTACAACTATTTTCTTCTAAGAGTTTTATAGATTTATAGCTCTTCAATGTGGGTTCTTTGATCAATTTTTAGTTAAGTTTTATACATTATATTTGGTAAGGGCTCAACTTCATTCTTTTGTGTGTGGATATCCAGCTGTTCCAGCACTAATCGTTTAAAAAAAAAACAAAATACTCTTTTTCCACTACTGAACTGTCTGAGTGCCCTTGCCAAAAAACAATCATAAATGTATGAGCTCATTTCCAGACTCTCAATACTGTTTCATTGGCCTACATGTTTAACATTATGACAGGACAACAGAGTCTGAATTACTATAGCTTTGAGTATCAAGTTTTGAAACTGAGAAACATTAACCCCTCCCAAAATTATTATTTTTCAATAGTTGTGGCTATTCTAGGTACACTTTTCTTCCCATATCAATTTTAGGATCAGTTTGCCAAATTCTACCAAAAGGCCAGCTAGTATTTCAACAGAGATTAAGTTGAACTTGTTGATCAACTTGGGGACTACTGCCATCTTCACAGTATTAAAGTTTTCAGGTCCATTAACATCAAAAATCTTTCCATGGCTTTAGTTTGAGAAAAGTTGTTTTCATTTTGGTTTACTCCCCAGTCAAAAAATAAGCTGTACAAACTCAAAGCATACCAAGTATGTAGACATTATTACAACCTCTTCATAAGAGGCTTTTTTTGGGGGGGTTGTTTTTTGTTTTGGTATTACGGACTGAACCCAGGGGTACTCAACCTCTGAGCCACATTCCCAACCCTTTTTATTTTTCATTTTAAGATAAGGTCTCTCTATATTGCTGAGGCTAGCCTTGAACTTCTGATCCTTCTGCCTCAGTCTCCTGGGTTGCTGGGATTAAAAGTGTACACCACCGTACCTGGCTCAAAAAAAGACTTCTTAAAGAACTGCAGCCTTGGGGCTGGGGCTCAGCGGTTGACTACTCACCTAGCATATGGGAGGCGCTGAGTTTGATCCTCAGCAAAACATAAAAATAAATAAAGATATTGTGTCCAACTACAACTAAAAAAATATTAAAAAAAAAAAAACTGCAGCCTTTCGTTTCCCAAATAGCTCATTCACAATAACTGAACAAAGAAAAGGCTAACTGCTGAAATTTATACCTTTATTTCTTCATTTTACGAATCATAAATCTCACTCTTCAAAATTTAATTTAGGCAGAAAATAATGTGCAAAATTGACATGGTTTTAGATTCATATAGATTTTTTTTTAAGAGGACCAGCTGTCAGACAACATCTACAGTCAACATTAAGAGCAGCACTTGCTAACTAGTTT